TGACACTAAGTGACCTTTTAAATACACATTGACAAGTTGTGGCTTTACAGCGCTTTAGTCATGGGCTGAAGTTAGCAAGAGGTTTTTAGTCACGGGCTGAAGTTAGTTTTAAGTTAGTTGACAGTTGTCAAATTTCATACAATCGTTAAAATAAAGTGCCTTTCTTGTAAAATAATACTAAATGTGAAAATTATTTTATTTTCTCAATACAAAATAACAAAAATATTAAATAGTTTCTCAACGCCAGTATTTGAAAAGTTTATATGAACATTGTACTGACCTTTTAATTTCGCCGGCAGTAAACTATAACTTAAATTCGGGCACGGACTCTACTGTAAAGTCCTTTACTTTCACTGTGAAAAACTGTCAATTTTCAAGAAATATTTCGATTTATAACCTTTATAATTGTGTTTATAAAATGTAAAAATGTGACATTTGACAGTTTCCCCTGTTGTTTCATAGATGGCGCTCTATACAAATTTTTGATTTAAATCATTTTAAGATAATAACAAGTATTTGTCGTAGAAAAAGTATAGTATGCATCTCGTTTATAAACTTTTCTATACACTCATTAACTTAAGCACTCGCTCGCAAGCTCGCTCGTGCCTAAATTAAATTCGTATAAAATGGCGTTTATCAAACTTGATACATAATATACTATTTTATACTTCCAACTTTAAAACGTCCATTATCGTACATGTTTCCATGACACTAAGTTGTGGCTTTATGGCGTTTTAGTCACAGGCTAAAGTTAGTTTTAAGTTAGTTGACAGGTCAAATGTCATACAATAGTTAAAGTGCCTTTCTTGTAAAATAATACTAAATGTACTGTATCTCAATACAAAAATACAAAAGTATTAAATAGTTTCTTAACCGCCCTCGGTGGTGTAGTAGTTAGCACTGCGGACTACACGCCGAGAGGTCGTGGGTTCGAATCCCACCAGGGGTATGGCTGTTTATTTGTGTATGTCAGTGTGTACTCCTGAAATTGGGCCTGGTGCCTGTTGGAAGCACATTAAAATAATAATAATAATAATATTTGAAAAGTTAATATGAACATTGTAGTGACATTTTAATTTCGCCGGCAGTAAACTAGATATAACTTAATTTCGGCCTCGGATTCCACCGCGAAGTGCTCATAAAACATTTTATTCACTTTAACTGTGAAAAACTGTGGCTAATCCATTTTCAAGGGATACATTTCGATTTATAACACAAAAAAATTTGACATTTGACGGTAACACAGATTCCCAAGTTGGTTACGCTATTGTTTTATAGATGTCGCTCTATACAAATATTTAATTTAAATCATTTTTAGATAATAATAAATGCCAAATAAAGGTCTTGATAAATAGTAATTTTTAAACACAAATTTAGGAAATAAAGTTGTAATAAAAATATTTTCGAATTAAATTTTAATTGATAATTTATACATTAAGATACATTTTTAATTTTCCCATTAATGTTAATAAACGTTTAGAATCAATATGAAAAAATATAAATGTTTTAAAATGTATGTTTCTGAAGTTCAAGTTCGTTAAAATTTTATGCTTTAAATTAGAATACCTAACTAGTTTTTTTTATTTTTTAAATGGGATAACTTTATGCAAATTATGCAAACCTTTATTAAGGTATCAAGGTCTGCAAGATAAATTTATATTTTTTGTTTAGGCTTTAGCCTTCTTAGAAAAAAGATTAAAGAGTCTGTTATGAAAGTATTCAGTTTCACAAAATGTACATGATTTAACAATCCTGCAGGATTGCTGTTTGTTTGCTTATCATATTATTATATTCAATGATTACTAATGAAAGTGATGACATTGAATTTTTAATTTTCATTATTAATATGTATATGTAATAATTTAGTAGCAGGACTTCACTAACTAAAAAAGTTCCTATGAATCGTTGTCCAAATATTGCTCCTTTCTGAGATACAAGGTGCTAAAGTTGTAAAGATTTTTAATATTTTCTTTAATACCTTTCAAGATATAAAAGATACATTACTTAAATTTGGTATACATTTATATCTAAAGTAAATACTTATTTTCGTTTTTTTATATTAAACCGGATGACTAGTTTTTCCTGATCATTTGGTATTTATTAAATACTATTTAACCTAGCATCGTTTAAAATTTTTTAAAGTAAAACAAATTTACACTATATCTTTTCAACTTTAAATTAAAACTAATCATTTTCAATTTGGTATGTAACATTTTCAAATTGGGATAAATCAACTTTAAATTGTTAGTAACGGTTAGTAATGGGAATAAACAAAGTCAAATTGGAAACAAACATTTTAATTTGGTACTAATCAACCTTAAATTGGAATTTTCACTGAAATTGTAATTCAAACTGTCATACGTTTTGCAAGTCAATCGGCAGTCACGTTTAAACTTGATATTAAATTAAAATAAAATGCCTTAAGCCGGTCACAGACCTGACGAACGTTTTCAAACCTTCGCGTTGCCAGCAATCGCAGCCGCTCGCAGTTTTGCTCGAAACGCGAACGAACGCCCTTTAATTATTCAGGGGCTTCCACATACACGAATTTTAAAAAGAAATCACCAATTTGATGAACAAATTCCAAATGACATCTAGAGCTAAAATTGTACCTTTATTCAGTTGTTTAACAGTCACTATTAACGCAGTGTCGTGATCGATAGCAGTTTAGTTAGCCTTCATAAATATGAGTATTATATACTAATTTTATTAACTATTATTATTATTAATTAGGGATGTGCCTGGTCAATTGACCGAGATTTTTACCTATTTTGACAGGAGACATTTTGACCATGTCAAAATCGGTCAAAAACTTTTAATTCAACCTTGCGCGGCGGCGGCGCTACCTAGCGGAAAATAAGTATTAAAAAAATGTTCGGTAGTGGATCATGGTGCAATCATAATAATGCTTTTTAAATAGTGTTCTGGGTCATTTTTGACTAATTAATTTTAAGAGAGTAACGACAATGGTGATGGTGGGTTCAGTGAAGAGGATGATGTGCCGTTATCTACACATGCTAGCACCGTGTTATCGGTTTTTGGTTTTTAAAAGAATTTCATGTACCATCTTCAGGTCTTATATGCTGGGCTGCTGTTGCTGCTCTGCTGCGAGCTAGACGTGAATGTTTTTAAAAACAATGATATTATGAATATTTTTTTGTACCTCAGAATGGTTTCTTTATTTTTTGTTAGTTGTTTTTCAATACACGTTTCTATTTAAAATTGAGCAATTTTACTCATGCCTTCATTTCTTTAAAAATCACTAAGAAATTTGACCGGTGCTTAGTCAATTGACCACAAAAGATTTTGACCGGTCAAAATCCCAACCCTATTATTAATAAACATTTTTATGTAACTATTATATTATAATGTTTTATCATTATGTAACAAAGTAGGGAAAAACTATGTAAATATAATATCATTTTAATTAATTTAATGTAAAGGTTAATATAAACTTTTTTAATTAAAATAAATGTCTACATTCGTTAGTGAAATCCTGCTACTAAAACCTGTGATACCCTGTATATAATTCTTACTTCTCCTTTACTTAAAAATGCATTGCAGTGTGCATGGCATATAATCTGGTTAATGAAATTAACTAATTTATGATGCACAACCCTCATTGGGGCCATTTAAATAAAACTGAATAAATTACTTACAGTTTGTTAAACTTCCTGTTTACAGATTCCTTCTGAAGTGTGTTTATTATTTATAATTATTCATTCTGTTCTTGGTCATATAATATTATGAGAATGAATCATACTTTACCATTAAGAAAATTACGATTTGTGATACCAGAAATGTTGAAAGTACTTTAATGTGTTTTTAGAAAATATATTATGAAATATTTAAATATTTAAATAAGATTTGAATCATAGCCAATGTTTTAAGGGTAGGAGCAATTAAGTATTACGTAACTCAGTTTTTCAATTTTTTTTACCTCGTTACGAGTTACGTAATATTTGAACGCTCCCTTATGCCTAAATGCTAATTTAAATGAGGGTAAATGAAAGTTTAAGTGATTTTTCCTAAAGATCATTTAGGTTTGGGAAAGTACCTACTTTTTAATATTTAAAAAGTAAAATCATATATGATTTTTTAACAAAAACAATAATATGTTATCAGTTTCTCATAAAGTAAACCATTAAATGAGAAAATCTATATACATATTTATTTATCTAACTATATTATTAGGTTAATAGATTTTTTGATTAGATTATGAATCTAGATAAAATTTATAGTAAAATATATTAAACCACAAACCATCATCAAAATAGTTTTCAAGTGGAAAAATTGACATCCCATGTTAACCAATTGGTTATTCCAGAACATATATTAATGTATATTATATACAGTATGTCCATGTATTAAGTTACAAAGAGTAAAACAACATTTTTGATTTTTTAGAACAAAATAATAGTTATAAATTACATTTTCTTCATATATTTTTCTGAAAATAGTTTTTTCTAGTTTTTTTATAAAGATATGGTTTTTTCTACTTTTTTTCTAAATGATAACTTTATAAATATCTCTAACCATTTTGGAGAAAATTCATTTCTTTCTTACTAAAATAAAAAATCCTCAATGGGTATAACTCAGTTGCTTGAAAACTTGACTTTTGCTAAACAATTTACTTGCTAACAGTGCCAACCCGATATTTCATATTTATGGAAAAAATTAGAAAACCTTATTATATTTACCTTGAAATACTTGAAAATTACTGAATAAAATACGTTATAAATTCCCATTCAATTTTTGTCATTTTTATTATATTTTTTAAGTAAATTTACAAATATTTTTGTACCTATATATAGGTACACAAAAACAAGATATTGGACTAAAACAGTTTAAAACCTATTTTTTTAATTTAGGCCAAAATCTTACAAAAATTGTATGCTCTTGCTATTTTTACTGTTTATAAGAAAAATTTATTTTTAAATAATAGTAATTAAGTATGTATAAAAAAATCTGGCTAAATAATAGGAAAAAAGAATATTTACCTGTTCCAGATGTTGGATTGACATTGTTATTTAGTGGATCAAACTGGTATATAACACTCTTTGAGGCCCTTGGAACCAAACAAGGGGGCACATAGTTTTCATATGTAGAATTAGTATTTGATGCACAGCTGCCTTTTTCTTCTGGCACTGGCATTACTGAAGGTCTCAACTCCACTTCCACATCATTGTTCAGAATAACTTCATCATAAAAATTCCACGAACTAGACTGAGATGCAGTCTCCATTGTGGCATTATCTTCCGAAGATAATATTATTACTTCCTTTTTATCCCCATTGGGAAATACTGTTTCATAGTTGTGTTTGCTGCTGGCAGTAAGATTAGACGATGAAGTGCTGTTTGAGGCTAATGATGAAGGGGTGTCATACCAGGAATCATCTGGTAATGGGGGTGGAGGATGTGCTGGAGGTGGAGGACTTGAAGATAAAACATCGCTTTCTTCATTTATGTTGTTGTATATATTTTCTCCAGGTGATTTTGTTATTGGTGATCCAAAACTTATTGAATTAAATATGTTTATGTCCTGTTCAAAATCATCTACTTTGGGTTCCTCACAAACACTTTCTCGTTGGCTTGCAGAACTTAATCTCCTGGAGAGTTTTCTTAGGCTTTGTCTGGTACCTTCACTAAAGTCCTCAAGCTTTTGTCGAGCTTTCTTCTTAAATGTGTTTGTATTTATATTTGTATCAACAGGTGGTGGTTTACTAATATCTTCCGTTATTTTGGTTCTACGCGGAGTTGGCACTGGTTTTTTGTCCGCTGTTAAACGAGGGGCTGGCGAAGGGGTACTCATTGTTATTGTTTTATTTAAAAATTATAATTTATTACTATTTCACTTTAAAACTTATCACAAAATGTTACATAAAATAGATGCGATACATCATTCGGCTTGTTTCCTATTCTAAACCTTATTAAAACACCACAAACATAAAACAATCAAAATATTAGTCATAAGCAAAGTTGATATTATTACCAGCGGTACTCAAAAAGTGCCATTCAAATCTCTTCGTGAGACAAGAAAACAGTAAATTCAAAACGCTTTCTGGTTGATTACTCAAGGATAAATAAACTGCTTATTAATTTTTAAATGTACACAGTTCATTGTTACTGAATCAGTCATAAAATTAACAGTGGTTCTCAAACTGTACTTAAGTAATTTTCGTTATGTATGCAACCACGATTACAATTGATTGGTTGAGTATCTTTAAATCGGAAACTTGCGTTTTAATTATTATTTTAATTATCTGGTGCTAAACTTCTGGTTTTTGATCTTTTTTTTTTGTTTAACTTGTTTTTGAATTACTTTTCAGTGTTCAAATTATTATTATTGCGTTGTGTTAACCTGTTCTGTTTGTGTTAAACTTATTGTTTTTTTGTTGCGTTAACTTGTTTTGTTTGTGTTTGAGTTTGTGTCGTTCCATTTGCATTTTTTAAAATGCGGTGTGGCTGATTTGGATGTAATTCGGACAACCACCCAGCAAACACAACCGTAAAGGTTCTATAATGTACCTTTATCATCCTTCCTTTAATGAACTAAAGGCCTTATAAAGGCTAACTCAAATGGAACTGTACATATTATGTCGCGTTCACCTTTATTGGACATGTAAAGGCAGTCAATTTTTGATATGGTCAATTTTTGATATAGTCAATTTTGATATGGTGCGCTAAAGGTTCTGACAGTGGCGGCTGGTGGATTTTGGGCACACCCATATCTCAGTTATTAGACATGGGACCCACATCAAATTTATGAGTTTATAATAACACTATATAGACAAGTTCTGCGCAAGCAAGTTTTCCAAAAAAGTTAGTTTTTAAGTGTTCCCCCCCCCAGCCTCCTGCCTCCCCATATTAAGAAAATTCAAATTAAAGTGGTACAATATTTAATTCACTAAAGTTTATCGTTAAATTTCAAATTTTATTAAAAAAATTCAAGTATTACAGATATTATACCATATCTATTTGTTTTCTAAATTTAATAAAAGAAATTATAAAAATTTAAAATGGTATAAAACCAGTAATTCTTGAATTGTTTAAATAAAATTTGAAATTTGTCGATAAACTTGAAAGTGAATTAAATATCGTACGTAGTAAAGTGGTACCACTTTACTTTGAATTAGGTATCTTAATTTGGGGGGCATGAGGCTGGGGGCCCACTTAAAAAACTAACTTTTTTTCGCAAACTTCACTTTAAATTCAGCTTGCGCAGAACTTGTCTATATATAGACAAGTTCTGCGCAAGCAGAATTTAAAGTGAAGTTTGCGAAAAAAAAGTTAGTTTTTTTATATATAATGTCATTATAAACTCATATAAGTTTGATGTGGATCCAATGTCTAATACCTGAGATATGGGTGTGCCCAAAATCCACCAGCCGCCACTGGGTTCTGATATGGCAGATTAAAGGTACAAATGTGGCAATCTAAAGTTTCTGATATGGGGTTTTAAAGATTCTATAGGTAGTGTATATTTAAATAATTTTTAATAGATAAGTAAAGTATATATTATGGTCGATTATCGTCGAACATCCTTATCTATATACATAATATTATAATAAATATATACCTACCACATTAGATAAATAATAATTAAATAATCGGAAATTGTTATCCCTATCGTCACAATATAATTTCTGACGATCGGGATAAAATTTCCGATTATCGTGAAATATCTGACCTAATAAATATAAACAAACCACATTTAATCGACCATAATAAATTTATTAATACTTTACTCATTAATTAATAAACATAATCGTGAAATGGACTACTATTGCCCCAATTTTGATCTTATCAATTAAACCTTTCCACTAAATTTATAAAATTATAATTCTTATAAGGGGCCGTCCATAAATGTGACAGTTTGTGACAGCCGGGGGCGGAGGGGGATAAGCAGGTTGTGATTCTATAAATACTGAAATTTGTTTATTTTGTTATCTTGAACAGTGTTTAAGATATTTTTTTTAAGTTTTATTGGCTTTTACGCTTTAAGATATTTCATTTTTTTCAAAAATTTTGACAGATGGATGGTCTTTCTAATTTTTTGTTTATTATAATATGTCTGTATTACCACTAATTGTAATAATATTCCCCAACACCAAAACAAAACAAAAAGTGCTTAAAGTATATATATATTTTGGGCAACACTCGATTTCTCTGTCCTGAACCAAACTTGGATGGACAATTGTCCATCCAAGTTTAAACTAAATGATCCATCCAAGTAACTGGAAAAAACCCGTTTTTTTTAAATAAAACCCAACCCATTGGGCTTTTTTGGGTTTTATAAGTGGGTTTTTTAATTCTATACAGATTTTAGTAAAAAAACAATATTTAAAAAAAAATAGTGTCGATAAGAAAAATTCAAATATATTCACTACCTTCTCCCAAAGATAATATATTATCTTTGCCTTGTCCTTCACAACTTATTTTCGCAGTCGTTGGTCAACTTTAAAATGCATAGTGTATAGGGAAACCCCCGAACTTTAAAATTACGTTTCGTTTGTTCAAAGATTTGATCGCTTCTCAGTTATAAAGTGTACTGCTTTTGAATGAATATTAGTTTTTACATACATAAAAGTGTAATGATTTATGTTATTACAAAATTATAAAACTTAAATTAAAGAATTGTTTTACTTCTTTTATTGATGTAAATATCCTAAAGAACCCATTATGGGTTATAACAGGTACCATGGCGAACACGGAATTGTGGACGCCATAATTTGGTTTACCATGTATAAATCTGTAAATAGCAGACACAATATTGAGCATTTTTGCATTCGCTGTCAAAATGGCAAGACTAGTGATAACCGGAAGTAAGGTTAGTTGTCCATAAAGAAAGTTTAGATTTTGATGTCATGACCATGCATGGTCTCAAGGCTGTAATTAAAATAAAATGGCAAAGATTAAATAATTTTTTAATAAAAATGTACAATCTCTATAAATTAAACTTCTTACAAAACCATACATTACACATTATAATAATTAGTAATTTGTTAATAACACTTCATATAATAAATTTAATTATTTTGTTAAGTATATAAAAAATACATATGCATATAGTTTGGCAGTCATTTGAAATAATATGTATTGAAACCTATCCTAAACCTACAAAGAGTTAATAAAAACCTTTGGCAACAAATTTTAATATCATAACTAATGTTTATTATTAATACTATTTGTTTGATCAATTTTCAATGAGTAAGTTTGGCACATTTTTAAAAACCCTAAAAAGTCAGTCCCAATACAAAGAGGTACTTTAAATCTAATACAATACTATTTATTTACGATGGAATGAATAATTTGAACTCAGTCTAAATTACAATAAATTGTTCCTAAACAAGATATAAATAAAATCTAATATAATGTTAGTATAAAATGTTGAATTGTGTTGGGCAATAGAGAAACACAAAACATTTAATACAATTTAATTTTTCCAACACGATTCAATTCAATAAAATCTATAGTTAAAAATTAATATTATCAAGACAGAAAGTTTGTAACTTGGAGACACGTCGATATAATTATCTTCTATAAACAATAATTGTTATTAAGCACATTTCATTAACGGCCAAGTTTATTAACCATTATTTTTTCTTTTTGCTGGATGCGTTCTTATTAAAATTATTATTGACGCCATTTGGAATTGATCCGTTTGCAATCCTAAAGTAAACAAAATTATAAGTAACTAAACATTATATTAATAAAATAAGTAAATGTTATTTTTAAAAGGGATTTTTTTTAAAAGCTTCCCTGAAAAAAACATGTATCTACAGTTAAAATAGTAAGACTAGTTTTAACTGGTTTAACAATGAAAACACTTTTCTAAATGAACTATCAAGGCAAACTAAAAACAGGATTTTATAATTAAATATAAAAAAGCAATATTAAATGCCAAAAAAAGAGTTTAATAAGAATAAAATTAAAAAATCAAAAAATGTATGTGGGAAATTATTAACAAAAAAGGGGTTATTTGTAAAATTTGATAATATCTTAAAAAATTAAATTTAGTCAATTCCACAGTTAACCTGCACAAAATTCTAACACCAAAATATCAGTTTAATTTTAAGGAAGTCACTTATATTGAGGTCCAGGACATAATTTCTAATATTAAATAAAAAAATAGTTGTGATGTCTATGGTTTAAATATAAATTTAATAAAAAAATGTAAAATATCTAATATCTCTTCCCTTAGCTAAATTAATAAATATAATAAAAAAGGCGATGCTAAAGACCCCAGTAATTACAGACCAATATCAATCTTACCATTTTTTTTAAATTATTGAGAAATGCAAGGCAAATATAATGGTTTTTTAGGATAACGGCATCTTCTGTGATTATCAATATGGTTTTAGGAATGAAAGAAAAAATACAACTGGTATCTTACATATGGTCAAATCCATAAATGAGTCGTTTAAAAAATTTTGGAGTTTGAGCATGCTGTTTTTTGCGACCTTAGTAAGGCCTTTGACTGTGACTATGACTCTTTACTTCTGAATTAGAGGCGTACAACTTCTCAGGGAAAAGTGTAAAACTCATTAATTTTTAGTAATGACTTGTGCTGCAATAAGGGCGCTGTGGGTTTTACACTTTTTGCTAATGATACAATAATATTTAAAAAATCATATATTGAACTCCTAAATGAGGAGAGTGAGCGTATCAGACGCTGAGCTATGGTTTACCACAGACTTGTTTTAAACAAAGAAAAAACATAAAATCATATTTTTTCTATAAGACCTATAAATGATGAATACCCAAAAAAACCAGTTAAATTTCTGGGAATCTTATTAGTAGAGATGGGATTTTATGGTGCCAAAATTATAAAAATAGTTACCTAAATAGGTAAAATTTTGTCTTGTTTTAGGTAAGAAAATTCTTAAATTAGGTACGTAATTTACGAAAATAAGTACTGGAAAGCAACTTATAGGTGGTAAAGTAATTTAATTTATTATTGTATAAAATTGTATTGAACAAGATTTTTATGATTTGAAAAATTTGACAATAACTGAATATATCTTTCATCATTTCATTTCACATTCAAAATGTTTTTGTTAATAAGCATACCATTGCTGAAAATAACCAATCATTATGATAGAAATTTATTTAAAAATACTCTTTTATAAAAAGCATAAATTTGCTAGAATTTGTGAAAATACATAAGATTTTTAAATAAAACATGATAACAGGAGAAAATAATATCTGATGCAAAAGCATGAGACCTGGCAACATTGCATAGGAATATCATATTCGCGTCACTGTTCGCGATTCCCAGAACCAAACACTCCCAACCAACCCACATAACCAATCCTGTACAACAAAAATAACTACATGGTGCATAAGAATTATGTAATCCGAATACGCCCCAATATTACAAAATTTGGTTTATCCATTTCTGTCAAAAATAAGAGCTTAGGTGAAATAGGTAAAATTACACTAGTTTAGGTAGTAAAATGTAAAAATTAGGTCAATTTCTCTTGAAAATTAAAATTTAGGTAAAATAAAATCAGACTCAAATAAAATTATTTTCTTTAAAACCTATTTTATTCCATTGCAGCTTAAAGTCTGATTTATAAATTACCTTCCTTCCTTCCTTCCTCCCGTAAAATATGAACAATACGAAAATCGTAGTGCCATTTCCGTACGGGGAAGGAAGGAAAGCAATCTATAAATCAGGCTTAAATTTGATTACCATATATAAAAAGATAATAACACTAAAATCCCATATCTACTTCTACAACAAATTAAGGTGTAATTATAATTACACCTTAATTTTTTGTATAATGTCCAGATGGGATTTTAGTGTTTTTATCTATTTGTATACGCTAATCGGCAATTGTCATATTGATGTGTAATTTACTTGGTAGTCTCTAGTGATGTACTGTTAAGTGCATAATATTCGCTATTTGAATCAGATCTATCTTACGCTCTAATTGTTTGGGGTCACTCTGTGGAGTGTTATAAAAATATTCTGTCTTCAACGCAAGGTAGTAAGGATCATCGCCATTTTAACGGAATCAAATTTTATAACAAACTTTCAAACAACATAATTGAGTACCAGTTTTAATGTTTTAATTGACCATATGCAAGGAATGCGGTCGATGTTGCCAATGGTAAAACAATAAACTTCCCTATTGGGAACATTCAATTATATTACGTTGGCTACACTGAAATTTTGAATTTCAGTGTAGCCAACAGTGCTTGCAAATCCGTCCGACCGGTTTGGGAAGGACGCGTGAAAATAACAAGGATATATAGAACGCCAAACAGAAGGCGCTTACAATACGCACGCCTGACGCTCTGACCAATCAAATTCTGTTTGACATTCTATCCTTATTCTTTTCACGCGGGTATTGAACAACCATCCTTCCCAACGCGGTCGGACTGCAAGCACTGTATATTTACCTATAATGGTAAGTTTGTTCTTTTCAATGTATTTGTGATTATATTTTATTTATTAATTTGTCTTTCTTTCCTATTTTATTTGACGTTGTAAAGAATTTGTATTTTATTAGCTTATTAAATTTTTGTATCATGTTGTATTAGCACTAATAAAGATTATTATTAAGGAGTGTTACAAACAGTGCTGCCAAAGATATTTTTTAAACTGTACTAGAATATCAGTAAAAATGTAGTATATTCCAACTTATTTTACGTAAATTTTTGTTATTCTTAGATAATAATAATAAAAAAAGTTCTTAGGGGGATTTTTAGAGGGATACGAAAGTTCTTAGGGGAATTTATCATTCGAAAGGTTTTTTGGCCAAAAACTGATAATAACATGAAATTAAATTAAATAAAACTATAGAATGATAAAAACTTGAGTTTGCACTGAATTATAAATGCTTAGTGATGATCACTCGGCGACCTTCGGCAAATTTGATTTTTTTGAATATCTGGTGATAGTCATTCAAAAATCTATTTAGTTGACGAAATACTCGAGGCTGCAGAATGCTGTGAGAAATAATTAATGTAAATACTTTATCAGCATAATAACGCCGCGTGCTATAGCTTATAAGCACAGATGTCCTATCTACAATATAATATTGTAAATAGGACCTCTAATGTTGACCATAGCACAGAGACTATTATGAATATTTAGTAATTTATTTTTATTGTTTTTCTCACCCTTAATGAAAAAAATGTGTAGAGAAAATTGTTATTTAACTTTTACACTGTAAAAAACTGAAATTTTAAAGTCCAATAATTATTGTGCTTTTCCCCTAATTATTATTATGGGGAAAGCACTGAATTATATGGGGAAATCGAGCTTTATCTAGATTATTTGGGGGGGAAGCTCTTTAATAATCTGGCAACACTGAAACGGTTCTCATATGAGTAGTAATAGTATACAGGGATGGTTAATAAATAAAGACAAATGCATTATGAGACGTGGGAGTGGTGGAGTGACGAAATAGTGGTGGGGCAGGCCAGACCGCGCCGCGCCAGGGCTGGATGCTCCCGTGTACGAGTTTTGGTTCATGCCGCGCATATACACGAATAAAAGTAATATTATCAAAGAAAATAGAGAAATATCTGGACATAGTGCGTTTTTATTAAACTTAATATTGAAGAAATTGTTATAATATGGATAATAGATGCTTTTAGTCCTTGATAACATTTAGCTGTAGTTTAAGCCTTGGTGTTTTAAATTAAACTTATAGCCACTGTCCAGAAAATGTTTATAGGAAACAGAAGCGGTCTTAACGTTAATATTGCCTATTCTTTTTGTGGCATTTAACCACTGTTTCCACAAATCAAAGTTTTTCGGGAATCGATTAAATTTAATGTTTTTATTTAAAGGGTTTTTCTTGGACTGGTTGTCTGAATTGCATCCAAATATGCCACACGGCATTTTAATAAATTCAAATGGTACGACACAAACTAAAACACAAACTAAACAAGTTAACGCAACAAAAAAACAATAATAAACAAACAAAACAGGTTAACACAACGCAATAACAATAATTTGAACACTGAAAAGTAATTCGAACCTTACCGAAAGCAAAAACAACAAGTTAAACAAAAAATAAAGCAAGTTAACATCCAACAGCATCGCAAAACAAGAATTTTAGCAGCAGATAATTAAAAAGCACGTTAAAGATTTAAAAACACTCATCAAGTGACATATTTAAGCCCCGCCCAACATGCGCACCATCCTATCTTAAGGTGTATGTATCTTGGTGGGATTGTAAAACAGTTAGAGGAGGGGAAGTAAAACATTGGCGGACGTTTAATTGTTTTGATTTAATCGTTTTAAAATCTTGTACTGCACGCTTATGGCAGAGGGGAAATAAGTATTTTGTTATCCTATTCGTTCAACAATGGTTGTTTGTCTCTCTTATTTATACGTTTATCTCACTTATTCGTACGTTTCATATAGCATGCATCTTTGTTTATTAAACGGCCTAAGAGCCCATTACCATCCCTGTATACTATTACTACTACTACTACTACTACTACTGACCTGTGTTGAGTAGTTGGCAACCCCGCACGCTGGTCGTCCATGCGGCCGGACTGGAATCGCACGATAAGCGAGAAGAAATCTTCGTCGGGGACGGTCGCGCCGCTTCGCGCAGCTCCGCCTCCTCTGATGGGCGGCGCGGGGGCGTCAGATTCCGCGTCTACGGCGGGAGCGGGCAGCGGCGACCTCTGGTCCTCCAAACGCGAACCCTGGCAACGCACGAGCTGATCGAGGAAGTTGTCGTCGGGAACGTTGCTCGATGGAGCGGCAGCGCGCAGGCGTTGTAGGGAGCTCGACTGAAGGCCTAAGTTAAGGGGTAACGTGCAGTTAGAGTTTTCAAAAAATCGATTTTTTTGCAATAAGAAAAATGTCCATTTTACTACACCTGCACGTAACAACTTAAATAAAGCATGTGTTACAATTTCAAGCATACGGACGGGACAAATCACAAATCTGTTTTTATAAAAAAAATTGTAGGTAATATATGAGTCAATTCATATGAAAACGCCGAAACTCGTTGCTCGACCATCTTGTGTCCCAAAGGAAAAAATTCACCCTTATTTAATTTTTCGCATGTGTTAAATTCGGCCTATTCGAATTAAAACTTTTTAAAAACGTCATTTTTATGCTTTAATAATTTAAGCTGTAACTTTTTTTCTAATAAAGATATTTTAAATTTTAAGATGCCATTTTAAAGCTAAAAAATAGTAGTTTATATAAAAAAAAATATAAATTCACTTAATCAATATAATAATATAAATCCATAATATTATATTAAATACATATTTTATAAAAAAACTCGGTAGCAAGACTTGAATTGTGTTCTAATTCGCAAGAGACAATTTTTAAGATTTTGTTTTAATAATTAAAATTTTGCTGGCAGCGTAATAAACAAATGTATATATTTTATTATAAAAACGATACAACCTAAATTGGAGAAGCATATAATATGTTAGTACATAGTAGAACCACTCTGTGGATAAAACAAACATGAACCTCTCATAGACAGTCTAAAAATTTAAATTTCCCAAAATATACAAACAATCAGTCTTCTAGTTAAGAATGCTATGCATAAAAGCGTCTCTCTTACAAGCTCTGCATTTCTAATGTAAATAATATAAAATAACAAAAAGGATTTGTACATTATGTATGGCATTACAATCTATATGCTTCAGATTGTAAAAATTTTGAAATTCTTAATTGAAGGAAATAGTACCTTCATACTTGGTCAATGTGTTAGGAAAATAGAAGAAAAACAAGATATAAAGCTCATTCACATCCACTTAATAAGCGTAACTTAACGTAACTTGTTAACGTGAGAGACGTAAGTTGAAATACATTGAAACCAATGCAGCTCTTTACATTCGTAGACTATTATAACGTATTCAAAAGTTGGGTACGGCTCAACTTAAGGGAATACGTTTCTTACGTGACCCAATCACATGCCCAGTAAAACGATATAGCGCTATCTTGTTGTTTCACTTGTATGCACCCAGTCTACATCGATGTATACATTGCGCGTGCTTGTATATTACGTTCTTTGCGTGTATTAAGTTAATGTTAAAAGACAACTTAACAGACCTTAAGTTAAGTTACGCTTATTAAGTGGATGTGAATGAGCTTATACAATAAGGACGTAGCGATGAGGGGTAACTACACCCCCGCAAGTTTTTCGGAGTCGGCATTTTCGGAGGTTCCGATAATATATAGATTACTACAATATTTCCAATAAATGGGAACGAAATTTAGGTGATTTTGAAAAATCATTTAGTGAAAAATTTGCATCCTCATTTTTCTGTGAATTTCTGCGTTTTCGAAAGTTTTATTAGCTGCCAAATAATGCCGACTGTAGCTGCAGCTAATGCCAACTCTCACAAACTTATTTTTAACCAACCTCTAAAAACAATGTTTACATTAAGTATAATTTTTCCTTAATCTTACACATATAAAAGATTGCTGCAGTCGTCAAAATCTTCGAAAAAAGTCAGCATTTTATTAAAACTCACCTTGGAACCTGTATACAATTGAAATACACATAACTTGTATATAATACGGAAATAGGTAGGTATTGCATTTCAGCAAATGTAAATTTAGAAAAAAAACGCAATTTTCGTCAAAAAACTAAACTAGGTAATATATTTATAAAAAGAGTAGGGATGCACCGGAATTCCGGCGGTACCACTAAATCCGGCCGATCCGGCCAATTGCCCGGAACTACCGTTCCGGCCGGATCGCTCCGGCCGAATCGGTATTTTCTTTTATCAAAAAATTAATCTATTCTCTGGCACTTTAAATAGAGACACTTTCTCTAAACAACTTTTTTACCCACCATTACACGTAGGCACAAAACAAGTCTTAACCATTGTAATAATAAAATAGTCTCGTACACTTAATAAATTAATAAAAATTACCGGCGTCTTCTTAATTTCGCAGAGAACCGAACAATTCGCATAGCCCTTTCTCGCGTTGTCTCTCTGTCGAACAGTGACCCAAGTTTAGATCCACTTTTCTGCCGCTTAATACGGCGCGTTACATTACCAGTCTTATTTAGTATCATGCCTGCAACCCTGTGCCTTTGCTTATGATTAGCAGGCGTCTGGGATTTCCCGACTTTTGCGTCTGTGATTCCCCGACTTTCGCATCTGGGATACCCCGACTTTCGACCAGATATATTTTGTAATTGGTCAACAGTGAAGGGTGTGCGTGTTTCCTTGCCTATGATAGACCGGCGGCTGTGGTTACCAGCTTCTTTTTATTTTTTTTATTATTGGCAGGTGGCTGCTATTCTTCAATTGAATGAGTAGAATTGTTATAATTTTGTTAACGCTAATTAAAAATTAATATTTATATAAACAGTAATTTCTATCTAGGTAAAATTAATAGTAATAAACACTCTGCATACTGTAGCTAGTTTAAAATAAAAGTAAAAATAAATCAGCCTTAATATTTTCAATTTTTTACGTATAAAAATAGGCATGCACACACATTTTAAATTTAGGTCCCGATCCGGCCGGAATTCCGGCGATCCGGTCCGGCCAGCGGCCGAAATTCCGGTTCCGGCCGGATCGGCAAAATACCCGATCCGGTGCATCCCTAAAAAAGAGTACCATTTAGGTAAAAAAAATATAAGGGTAAAAAATAAAAAAGGTACTTTAAGTAAGATAAAACTTGGTCAGATGACTCCATTTTTATAATACATACAAACACCGAGACAAACACTTACAAGACAATATCTTTAAAGGCTTAAAAACAACAAAAGAACAGATTTTACCTAAAATTCGGGCTCTAGTCATGTGTAAAAACAATTTTTTTATTTACCTGGAAGATTAGGTAGCGCAACTCTCTGTTCATCCATCCTCTTGCTCTGCATTCCGGCAATCATGTCGATCAAATCTTCTGGTTCTTCATTTCGTTGTTGTTGCTGTTGCAGGTTTACCATGTTGGTGTTTTCCTTGTTGGCCACAGTTAGCGAGCAACGTTGGTCGTCCATGCGCTTTGATTGAAAGCGCGACAGCACGTCGAAGAACGAATCTTCTTCTTCAAAGTTTTTCATCGGAATAGATGTTTTATTGGTATGAGAAATAACTTTCTTACCATCAGGAGTTAACTGCATACAAAAAATTAAAAACAATTATGCCAAATTCGTTAAAAGGTATTTTTCTCATCCCATCCCACATAACACAATGTTTTAAAAATGTTGTCAGGCCGTTTGCAATTTTATGTAAATATTATTTCCATATATTATAAACTTTTTGAAATGTTCATTAAAAGTTTTCTGTTGTCTGAGGCTCGGCCGGTAAAGCGTGAGTTCGGCCAGATAATCCTTCTCAAACTGTGGTACGCGTACCACAAGTGGTACGTGAGGCATCCAAAGGTGGTACGCGAATAGGTAATAGATGTACTTGCCTTCAAATAAAATTATCGTTGGCTCAATTTTATTGAAAATCTATCATTTCCCACATTTTATATTGTAAATATTATTAAACGGGTAATCCCCTGCTCGTTTTAAAATCGTGACGAGTCATGCGTATTTTGTTTTGTTCTGACAAATTGTTGTTTTAATACTATAAAAATTGGTTCTTTTTCGCGGTTATCAATATTTCTTATTAAACTAATAGTTCAATAAATACGTACACGCAGCACAACTTGTTTTATTTAGTTCGGTGGTACTCGATTAATAGTCCGGTCAATCTAGACATTCGAAGGTACATAAATTTACAACAAGCTGAAAATCAGTAAAATTGTTCAGAATATAATTATTAATAAAATTTTAAAGTTCCCCATCATTCCCCTGTATGGAAAAATTTTTATTCAAGGTCAAAGGTCAAAAAAAATGATTTTTCGCGATTTTCAGCAAAACGGTAAGTTTTATTATAAAAATACACCAGAGAAAAATTGTAGATCATAAAATAATCTATAAAAAATGTATCAATACTTTTTTTCTACGATCCACCGTTTCTGAGATATAACGATTCGAAAAGTTGTAAAAGTTATAATCGCCATAATATGCACACGTTTCCACGCCACCTATGAGGTAGTTTACTAAGCGCGTTTTTAAACGTGGTTTCCCCAGTAGGCCTATTTCACGGGTCACTTGTGATCCTGTTTAATTTGAAACTATTGCAAAATAACGGAAATTAGCAATGATTGGAAAAGATAATAGCGATGTAAATTTAAAGAAAGTACTGAAGTTTATTCGTCTGATTCGTAACATTTAAATTCTTTTTCTTGTTCTTCTTGATCTTCTTCTTGTTCTTGTTCTTCTTCTTGTTCTTCTTCTTCATCTTCATCCTGGGTTCAAGTAAATTACGTCAATAGCGATGTATCGCATCTCACCTCGTTGGAATTAAATGAATCCTCCACTGTTGGTGATTCAACATTAGAGCACGACCGGCCTTGACAATTCGTACATGCCAGAGAATAAAACAGTCCGACTTTTTTGCAACCACATTTAGCACTGCATCCCTTTTTGCAGTTGCAAAAAATTGTGTTCAGCAGTTTTTCCGGCGCAGGTGGGAGTAAAGTTTGAACTGGTTCTAATGTGTTGTTGACCAACTTCCAACCCTAGTCTGTAGGGTCTAGCTGATAACCAAGCCACACTTGAACATGGTAATATACCCGAAAAAGATGTTGATGAGCATCAACTGAGGTTGGAGGAAGACAAGCTAATTGAACTTGTTTTTTACTTTTAGAATTTTTAACAAAACATGCATATCGATACTTATCAAAGCAGGTAGTTTTTTTAGGAGCTCCGTATATAGAAAGAAGAAATCGAATGCCGATAACTTCTTGTCCCGAAGACCCTTTTCCTCGAGTTTGGACGAAAAATCTCGGCTCGTTCGAAAGTTAAGCGAAGACAACGGAACGTGCCAAATTTGACGGAAAAATTGAAAAAAAGTGGACTTGGACCTTTTCGACACCGGAAAAATTTGGTCCGCTGATAGGTCTCGTTGGCAGAAAAATGACAAATGACAGGTGACAGATGACAGGTGACAGATTTTAAGTGTAAGTTAAAATGACCTATAGAAAAATATTTTAACATATATTACCTACAACTCTAGAGATACGTGGCGTGCATATTATGACGATTACAACTTTTACAACTTTTCGAATCGTTATATCTCAGAAACGGTGGCTCGTAGGAAAAAAAGTATTAATACATTTTTTATAGATAATTTTATGATCTACAATTTTGTTTGGGGTATTTTTATGATAAAACTTACCGTTTTGATAAAAATCGCGAAAAACTAATTTTTTTGACCTTTGACCTTGAATAAAAAATTTTCCATACAGGGGAATGATGGGGAACTTTAAAATTTTATTTATAATTATATTCTGAACAATTTTACTGATTTTCAGCTTGTTGTAAATTTATGTACCTTCACTGTTATTTTTTGGTCTAATTTGACCGGACTAATCCACATTGCACATGAATGGTACGCGAAAAAGTTTGAGAACCGCTGGTTTAGATTATAATTGCTATTTATGAATGGCAGTGTACTAAACCACGCCGGTACCTTAAGATTTTATTGCCACTTCATTGAAGACAATTATTCTATCGGTAAATTTATTATTAACAAAAAACAAAGAAACCTAATAAAATCGCTTAGAGAATCAAAAATATTATTGCTTTTTATTTTTTAAAAACAAAAAAGTAATTTCCCTGAGCCGGATTGAACTAATTTAATTTAAATTTTTTTTAGCTTCCACCCGGAAACATCCGAAAACCGAAACTGCGACAGAAAATGACAATTTACCGGAATTACAACAATGAAGGGCTCAATGTAAATTTAGAAAAAGGAAGTAAAAAAAACAAGACTAGAAAGAAAATTGTTCCTTTGTTTCTGATTTTTTTCAAAGAATTTTTGTTTTACATATTTTACTTTTATTTATATCGATTATTTATAAAATAATAGTTATTTATGTATTAAGGCAGTAAAGTCGTATTTTTTATCACGAATGTAGAAATTATTTGCAGAGGCGGAAGCCGAGATAAATAATCAAGTAAGTATTTTTTAATAAATAATAAATAAAATCAACATTTACAACAACATTGTTAAAATAAATTTGTAATGAACTGTAAATATTTTAAAATATATCCAGATATTAATGTGATGTTGAGGAAACATTTCAAAAATATAAGGTAATGCATGTAAAACATTAACGAAAATGTTTTAAAAATATTGTATAAATATAAAAAAGGGGACATCTAAATGTTGTAAAAACATTTAAGAAACATTTAAATGATAATGAATAATATTTCTAAAATATTTAGGTAATATAGCAAACATATTCATTTGATATTTTAAATATATTTTTGTGGGATGTGTTATAGAATTTTTTTCTATGTAGGTTTAACAAATATAAACAACACAACTTTGATATTTCTCGTGAAATGCCCTATGGACTAATAATGGTTTAATTATTAACTTACTTTTATTAGACTAAGTTGTTCCATGCTCTCCCTTCTCAGTCTCTGCATTTGTTGATGTGTTATATCATTAAGTTTATCATTGTCCGGACTGGACGTGTTACTATTTTCTAATAGAGTGTTTGGACTCTCAGGAATATCAAGAATTTTTCTCAGATCAGTAATATTCATTTTAGCTGTAGCTTCTCCCATACTATCGTTCAACTAAAAAAGTATATTAAAAAAAAACTAACCAAATAACTGTTTATACCTCTTTGCTTATTTCCAAATGTTTCTTGGCGAAACTTAAGGCTTTTTCGTGATTTCCCAACGATGCATGGGCGTTTCCCAAGGACCAACACGCCCTCCCTTCACCGACCTTATCGGACAAATTTTGCGCGATCAAAAAATGCCTTAAATGGTATTCGATTGCCGTTTCATAATCTCTAAGTAAAGTATACGTGTTGCCTAAGCTGTAACACGCTTGAGCCTCTATTGCTTCATCGCCCAGTTCTTGAGCCAAAGCTAAAGTACGTCTAAAAATAAAGTTATTTGTATTATGTCTTACAGAGATAATTAGCATAAATTAATATAAACGAATTAATTCAGTGATTTAATTTACGCATAAGACTGATTTTAGTTTTTTTAAATTTTAAACGACATACTAGAAAAATAAAACTAAATTGCAATATTTATAACAAGGCAAGATTGAGAGATATTTACATATAAAAACCTATATAAAGCAAATATAGTAAAAGTATTTTTTAAAGGATTTAAATTGTATAATAATTTACAACCTGATTAAATACTGTGATAAATATTATGTTTTTAAAAATATGTTAAAATGTTATGTGATTGAGAATTTGGGAAATATGTACATACAGTGTGACCCATCCCTGTAAAATATGTATTTATTGTGCGATTTTAACCGGATTTGTTTTAACGTTAACAATAATTACTATTTACAAAAATTTATTCTGTCAAGTTAACCATGAATGAAACATTGAAATAATATTAAACTAATAGTAACATGGTATAAATATTCTTATGCTTTGTTTTAACAAATGAAAAACGCAATAGAATCTTAAAACAACAATGAAACAAAAAATAGAGAATTCCAAAAAATTCTCTACAATGAGATTTTCGTCACCTCTACTAATCCACCACTTATTTCAATGCACTTTCATATTTGTTCTAGAGTAATGGCTAAACAGGCTTGTATTACCCTAGCCCGTAGTTCTTGTGCAGTAAATGTGACGAAAATCTAATTGTAGAAAGTTTTTTAATTCTCTATTTTTTGGTTCATTGTTGTTTTAAGTTTTTATTGCGTTTTTTATTTGTCAAAACTAAGCATAAGAATATTTATACCATGTTACTATTAGTTTTATTATTTCAATGTTTTTCATAGATAACTTAACAGAATAAATTTTTGTAAATAGTTATTATTGTGCATTTTTATTAGAGTACAAAATCGTTCCTACTTAAAAATATTCAATCAAATTTATTGAGTCGTTTCAAGGGAAGTGAATCCAGTGCAGTGCAGAGATTTTTTTAAGATCGCTAATATGAATTCTTAAAAATATACTCTCAAAAACTGACATAATAGGCCTTGTATTTTGTAAAATTTGGCGTTTTTGCTCAAAAAATACGGTTTATTCAGATCTACACTTTAAAACAAATTCGGTTAAAATCGCACAATAAATAAATATTTTACAGGGATGAGTCGCAAACAAAGGGGTCACACTGTATTTCCCAAATTCTCAATTACATAACATTTTAACATTTTTAAAAACATAAAAGTTATCACAGTATTTAATATCAGGTTGTAAATTATTATATAATTTAAATTCTTTTACTATATTTGCTTTATATAGGTTTTTATATGTAAAGATCTCTGCCTTGTTGGATAATTATAAATATTGCAATTTAGTTTTATTTTTCTAGATGACAAGGTTGATTCATAATGGCTATTCAAGGATACGGAGCTCAGAGCTGTAGTAGTGCACAAAACACTATCAACTTTGAGCCTGACTGTTTTTTGTTTGTAATAAAATGTTGGTAAAATGGCCTTTACTGGCCTTTACAGATAAAAAAATGCACCTTAATTAAGTTTTGTGGGCACAAAACTCAAGATGCATTTTTTGTCTGTAAAGGCCAGAAAACGGGGAGTTTTTGCCATTTTCCCAACATTTTGTTAAAATGGATATAGCCGGTTTTGCACGGATGCTCCTCATATAATAAATGATAAAATTGTCTTACTTGTAATGATGTGCAGCTTCAGAAAACTGTCCTATAAAGATGTGTGAGTTTCCTAAGTTACTATGGGCCCTTCTTTCAGCAGCCTTATCACCAAACTGCCTTGCAATGGAAAGTCTTTCTTCATGATAATTTATAGCTTGTCCAAAATTACCCAACAAATAAAAAGTGTTGCCCAAATTTCCGCATGCGCGTCCCTGCGCAGCTATATCGCCCAAATCTCGCATCAGTGCCAAATTTTCTCTAAAAGTCATAAAAATGTGTAATACATATCAAATATACCGTAAACGAGGTGCATAGAAAGAGTTCAAGCTCTTTAATATATTAACTTGGTCAAAGTTTGTTATAATATATAATAATATAATACAATAGTTTTAAAATTCTTACTCATAGTAATTTACAGCTTCATGCAGACATTTTTTGACATCATCAGAAAAATCGCCGGGATCCTTATTTCCAATGCGTCCAATGTGTTTTCCTTTTGCGTGATACACATTACCTAAGTTGTATAAAGCTCTCCCTTCGCTTAGTTTGTCTCCTAACTCTCTAGAAATTTCTAGGTGTCTCGTGCAAAAAACCACGGCCTCATCAAAACGACCCATTACCTTAAGAGTGTTACCCAAGTTGCCTGAAGATTTGGCTTCTCCCAATTTATCTTTTAACGACCTAAAAAATTCTTCTATGATAAGTTTTGTAATTTTTATTTATAATAAAATTATATGAAATATCCCTATGTAAAATATGGAATGAAAACAGCATTGGCTTTACTTATTAATAATCATTTTATAATATTATATAACCACAATTTCCTTTTGCATTTAATTAGTTATTTATAGATACTTTTAGTACATGTGGTACATGGGTTTATTGTTTTAATTTTAATAAAAATAATTAAATAATTTACAATAAGGAACAAAAATATTTAAACACTTTTTAAAGAATACTCAAGAATAAAGAATACACAAGGTGCATGTGATACAGCATGTTAAAAATGAATTGAATGTTTAAGGTTATAGATAAAAACAGAATAAAAACAATTTTCTAATTCTAATAAAAAAATAGAACAAGTTATGTTTTTTTACATGTACTGTAAAGCCGGGTCCAGACTTGGTAACATTGTTATATAACTTTGCTATATAACTCTGGTATAAAACTTTTGTTTAAAAACATAGTCGCGTCCACACCTAGGTCTCCAGATAGCACAAAGAAGTACTGGAAACGTCCTGAGTATATCTTGTATCAGACATTAGTAAGTCCCGAGTACGTCCGAATCAGGTCCTGAACCTTCCGCAGGACGTACCAGGGACATCTGATGTTACCAAATCGTCGGTCCCCAGAACGTCCTAAGTAAGACATCCTCTAGCCGTCCTGAAATACTTTATTGGGGACTCCCAGCAAACAGAAAAGCGTGATAAACACGTGACATTTTACGTCCATTTTAGACGTCTTTAAGGTACAAAATTGACATGTCTTGGTTCTCAAAAATAATGCTGTTTAATGTTAAATTTTATTAAAAAGCTTTTGCTAAAAGTAAGTAGTGGGGCCCACTCACAGAGCATAAGGGCCCACTGCTTACTATTCGCAGAGTGGGCCACAAGACCAGCTGTGTCCCTTCAAAACTTACAAGCAGAAGCGGTATGGTCAGTAATTAGGCCAGAAGGTAAGAAATTCTTACTTAGAAGCTTAAGGCATTCCACCTTTATAGGACTATCTATCGTGCTACAGAGGCGAGAGGTATGCATGGGTTGCCTACATATAGGTACGGAACGCAGTCTTTTGAAAATTTGGCATTTAAGGCTTTTCAGGTTATGTATCTGTCAAAGTATAGTCAATGAAAGAAATAATATTTATAGTGCTACCGCTTATGTTTAAGCGTTAAAAGTTAATATATCTTTATAGTATCACAATAACAATAGTTGGTTTAAGAATATAGGAATATAAATACTGCATTTAATGAAATTCTAAAGTGTATGGTGCCAAATAAGTGATATTTTTTTGCATTGGGTCTACATTTCTCCATAAAATAGTTTTAACTACAACACATTTATTTAAAAAAAATCTAACTTCTCTATTATGAAATAAGAATATCTGTATCAAAGGTAGGTTAATGTATTAGAACAAAAAATATCATCTGATTTTGTATTTTAAGGTTAGAAAAATCTATTTTGACCAAAATAAATAAGTGGATTATTTGGAAGAGTGTGTTAATATGGTCATTAATAAATATAGGTATACTATATAATTGTAGAATATGGTTCAAATTAAATTGAAGCTTTTATACAGTATAAATTATACTTCTAATGACAAAACTTGTTCATACCTCTCGGTATACCTACCTAAGTAAAATTATAAGAAAACAAACAATTTTTAGAGAAACTTGCAATGTGAAAATATGTAATACTTCCATGACATGTGATTTATTAAAATTTTTAAAGTTATGATTTTTCGATGTAGATCAAATTCAGTCGAAGCTTTATAACTATATTGACAAAACTTTATGTAGGTACCTACACTTTAAGCTGGATTAGAAAAACTACCACATTTTTAAATACCATATTATGCAGTCTTTCAAATAATCCAAAATACTTATTTATTTTGGTAAAAATAAATTTTTCTAACCTTAAAATTACAAAATTAGATGATATTTTTGTTATAAAATAATAACCTACCTTTAATACAGATATACTTATTCCATAATAGAGAAGCTAGATTTTTTTTCAATAATGCTGTTTATTTAAAATTATTTTATGGAGAAAACCCGATATTTGCAACAAATGCACAAAAATATTACTTATTTGGCACCATAGGTGCACTTTAGAATTTCATTAAATGCAGTATTTCTATTCCTAAATTCTTATACCAACCATGGTATTGTAATGTCATTGAGTAAAGGTAATGTTATATAGATTTATACATTTTGAACTCCTAAACATAATATTATTTCTTTCGTTGACTATACTTTGACAGATACATAACCTGAAAAGCCTTAAATGCCAAAAACAAAAATTACGTCCTTGGGACGTACCGAGTATATCCGCTTTAATTTTCCTAAATAAGTAAGAGACTGGACGTACCCAAAACTTCCGATATAGGTCTGGGACGTTCGGACCAATGTGGGACCCGAAATGGACGTCCTGGGTACCTCTTGTGCTATCTGGGTCAGTCAAGATGGATGCAGAAAACCAACTACTAGCAGCAGCGGCGTGCGTAATTTTGCTTACCAAGAAGAAAAAACCGAGGAAAAAGCGGTTTTGGGTTCGACCTACACTGAGGTCAAGAATTCAATATAGTGGGACTCATTTATTAGAGGATCTTAAACAAGACGATGTCGGCTCTATCGACTACGGAATGAAATACAGGGGAAGCTTTAAAAACTTCTGTAGAATATCCAGTTCGGATTTCGACCAATTGCTAAATTTAATTTCCCAAATTAAGAGCTTTCCCAATTTTATTCCAAGCGTCATGTTTTTTTTGTTTATTTTATACAAAGGGCTAAATGTGTCCCATAGTTCGGAATTTTGTCTATATAATTCAATTGGTTTGCACGTTTGTTCCACGTTCCATTCCATTTTATATCAATAATAATTATATAAATAATTATTATTTATATATTATATTTAGTTTAAATTTGTTTGAACTTTACTCAAGACAAACTGCACAGCACTGATCGGTTGTTGACATAAAATTTAACAAGTGTGGACACGTTTGTAATAGCAGTGCGATATAACTTCTTTTGATCTTACCGACTCTAGATGGATAACATATAGCAAGTAATATAGCAAGGAATTCTGCTACAATTAGCTTAAATTTTAGTAACATGTTATATAACCTTGCTATGTAGCAGTGTTATATAGCAAGTGTGGACCCGGCTTTATAAAATACATCTGTCAAAAATGTCAACTTGCCTTATTTGAATTTTTTCATAACAACTAAGATTATATTCAGAATATATAGGAAACGCGTCGCTTAACAGCGTAATAAAGGAGGGAAAGCTTTAGCTTAATAATAATAATCATCATTTTGTGCGCTCAAATAATTATAGTACAGTCATCTTAGTCAAAAAAGGGACCAACCTCGGAATCTAACGGAATAAGCTGAGTTTTTGTGAAAACCTTACAGCATTACAAATGTTGTCTCAAAAGTCACATATGCCAACGTGTGAGCGGCCTTAGATATTCAAGGTCGCAAAAATCAGTTTTTTTAAGAATATCTCGTTTTCTCTGCCTCCTATCGTATTTGCATTTATTATAAAAGTTGTAGAAAATAAAATTCTCTACAAATTTTGTTTACAACATTTTTTTATACGTCGAACCGTTTTTGAGGTAGAGGGCACAGAGTGTGGAGTAAATCGTGAATCCCAATCTATTATACCGTTTTTTTTTAATTAATTATATAATAAATAGGTATTACTAAAATAAAAATTTAATACCTTATACTTATATTTATATTTCTTTTAAATCAAATATATTTTATCTTCATATAAGTATATCTTATATTTTAATTTAATTTTAATGAAGGATAATTGGATCTGAGTAGGAAAAAATGTTTTTATTTATATTAATATTATTATTATTATTAATCTTTATCTTCTTCATCCTCGTCTTCTTCAGGTTGGCCAGCAATTTCAGACTCATTCTCATCATCACTCTCCTCGTTATCATTGACATTAATTGTCATATCTTCAAAAACTTACTTATAACGCGTTTGTACTTTGCAGATTTTTTTGCCTTTGTTGCCTCATCTGCGACTTCACCACAAAATAAGCAAAAATCAAACACATCATTCCCTTTTTTACGAGGTACAGTTGATGACGTTGAAGGTCCAGTCTCTTCAAGGCGATGTTTTGCAGCTGCATTTTCCTATAGTACGCTATAGCGTACAATTTTCGACACTTATATGAACGTTCACAGAATTCAAAGTATTTAGGTAGTTTATGTTTATTTCTCTCAATAATTGCTTCTTTTAAAGTCATTATACCGCGCACAAAAGTCACAGAATCACCTTCAGAACAGTGGCGGCTGGTGGATTTTAAGTATACCAATATCTCAGTTATTAGACATGGGACCCACACCAAATTTATAATAGTTTATATTGACATTAAATAAACAAGTTCGGCGCAAACAGAATTTAAATTGAAGTTTGCGAAAAAAAGTTAGTTTTTCCTGTCGCCTACCCTGCCTCCAGGCCCCCCTATTTGAGATAATTTAAATTAAAGTGGTGCAATTTATTATCCACTATAATTTATCGACAAATTTAAAATTTTATTTAAAAAATCCAAATATTACAGTTTTTATACCATTTTAAATATTTTTTTATTTTAATAAAATAAATAATAAAAATTTAAAATCGAATAAAATCTGTAATATTTGGATTTTTTGAATAAAATTTTAAATTTGTCGATAAATTATAGTAGATAATAAATTGCACCACTTTAATTTGAATTATCTCAAATAGGGGGGCCTGGAGGCAGGGTAGGCGACAGGAAAAACTAACTTTTTTTCGCAAACTTCAATTTAAATTCTGTTTGCGCCGATCTTGTTTATTTAATGTCAATATAAACTATTATAAATTTGGTGTGGGTCCCATGTCTAATAACTGAGATATTGGTATACTTAAAATCCACCAGCCGCCACTGCTTCAGAAAGTAACTTATTACAAATAAAACACAAATCAGCCATGTTAACCTTTAAAATATTACGAATATTACCTGTCACAACCCTAGACCTATACCTAGGGTCACAACTTGCTTTAAATATAGGTATACCTAACCTTTTTATTTATAGCAAGCCCACTATAGTATTTCCAGGTCTGTTATTTTAAAAGCAATATCTGGATCCAAGACATGACCAGAGACATATTTAAGGCAAATTCATTTAATGTCTCTTCTTCTTAAAATGCATTTATCATTAATTAGAATAACATTAGAATATATTTAGAATGATTCACTTCATTATTTATTTATTTGTATCTCAAAAGTAAGTACTATTTCATGACTATTTGTTTTAAAAAAATTTATAAAAATAAATATAAGGTTTTAAATTGTTATTTAAGTAAAATTTAATAAATAATTAATTAAAAAAACGGTATAATAGATTGGGATTCATAATTTACCTTGCGCTAAAGGTATGTATGGCTGAGCGCTCCACACTCTGCGCCCTCTATCTCAAAAACGATTAGACGTATAAAAAAATGTTTTAAACAAAAGTTGTAGATAATTTTATTCTCTACAACTTGCAAATACGATAGGAGGCAGAGAAAAGGAGATATTCTCAAAAAATTGATTTTTGCGACCTTTGACCTTGAATATCTAAGGCCGCTCATACGTTGGCATATGTGACTTTTGAGACAACATTTGCAATGCTGAAATAAAGGTTTGTACAAAAATTCAGCTTATTCCGTTAGATTCCAGGTGAAATGCCCATATAACTGGACTATTATTAATTAATCAACCGCGCTTAGATTAGATTGACAAGCACTTTTGGTTTTATTTAAATTTCAAATTTTTATTTGAGAAAATCACTATTGGATGTTTGTGCTGTGTTAAAAATTGTTTTAATTTGCAAGGAAAGGAAAACCTGCACATCAGTTATTTGAAATACCATCAAGTTTATAATAAAACATTACAGTGTAATGATTACACAAAATAACTTGCAATAGACTGATTTTACATTGCAAAAGTCATTTTATACATGAAATTTAAATGCATGACCAAATTAACATCATTACAGTTTAGGTTTTCTGCTCCAACGATAGTAATAGTAATTAGTTCATAAATTTACTCATATATTATATCATGAGAACTATGAATTTATTCGGTTAAACTAGGCTCAGTAGTTTTTTGTTTGGTTTTTCTTGGAAAATGTTGAATGCAAAATAATTTAATAAAATCACGAGACCGCGTAGCGGTCGAGGGGTTTTATTTTTAATTATTGTTAATTATGTTTATGCCCACAGCATATTATGCAGTTGTAGGGAACAAAAATCTCAGCTCACTTTAAAGTGAGTAAAGCAAAAGGAACGCGCACATTTGCAAATTTTGAAAATGTGACTCAGTTCAAACTGATACCCCACAACTTAGGCAATGACTGTAAGGCGCATACAGAGAACAAAACACCGCCACGTAACATTTTTTGTTGTGCGGTGGTGTTGCGGTATACACATATGTCCCAGTGTCGTAACAAATTCTGAGTGGGCCCCCCCGCAAAACGATTTTAATGGGCCCCCTTTACAATGAGTAAAAAGTTTATTATTACCCTTAGGTAAATTGGTTTATCATAGTACTTTTAAACTCATATTAATAATATTATATACATAATATTTTTTTTAATTAAAATTTTTGACAGGTAGGTAAACAGTGTATACGATAGACAGGCATAACTTATGTCACATAAGATAAGCAAATAAAAAAGGATTAGGTAAGAAACATTTATTGACAATATATAGCTTATTGACAATATATAGCTTCTTTATATAATATAATATATGCTTCTTTTCAAATTCGCACATGCGTAAAAACTTAATTAAGTTCATATGTGTAGTTATCGTTTGTTAATTATAATTATATATATAAACAGAAAATAATTAGGTAATTATTATTTAAATTATTTTTTTAAAAGAATGGAATAATATATTATATATTATAGAATTACGAAAATGATCCTGCAAATAAAAAGGTATATAGAATAAGATTTTTAAACCAAAATTAATTAAATAATTTCTGTTTTACTACCAAAAATTGCAGATACAGTCTAGATACAGCCTGTATCTGCAATTTTTGGTAGTAAAACAGAAAATATTTAATTAATTTTGGTTTAAAAAATCTTATTCTATTCTATAATATATAATATATTATTAAGATTCTTTAAAAAAAAAATTTAAATAATAATTACCTAAATATTTTCTGTTACGATAACTACACATGAACTAAAATAAGTTTTTACGCATGTGCGAATTTGCAAAGAACCAAATTGTCGATACAAAATTTTAAAATAATAAAATACAGGTTGCCTCTTTATCCACCATGGTAATTCTATAAAGTTTATATTTTGTCGTATTGCATTTAATTTAATTTTTTAAAAATTGTTAAATTTTAATTATTTTTAACAAATAATTTTTGCATTACTTTCAAACCAAATAACAATAGAACTAAAATATAACAAATAACATTATTAATTCAGCAAATATTAACATTTGGAAAAGCGTTTAATAGATGGCGCTACAACCGCATTTCATTTCTCGCGCATGTTCAAAATCAACGAATTAAATAAATATTTTTAACAAAAAATACTTATACGTTTAGCCTTAGGCCCGGTTTTTCAATAGTGCATTTAATTAGCACTTACGTAAGTTACAGTTATATTTAACTAGCGGCAAATTGTTAGTTAAATTGTAATCTGTTTTTTCACGCATTTTGAAGTATTAGTTACAGAATCACAACTTTTGACATATTTTTGTCATGTTGGTATAGAATTTTACCGGAAATCGACAAATTTAACCTAATTTGCGCTGTCAAAAGTAAATAAAGAAAAGTTTGTTTTGTTATTACTGGCGTCGTTCAGCCTGTGTTTTTAGTGAAATCAGTGAAATTAAAATGGCATCGAATAGACAGCGAAAGAAAAACAATAATTTTACAGGTGAAGAGCAGGAATTGTTAATGGCATTAGTCCGAACCCATAAAAATGTTATTGAAAACAAAAAGAGTGGCCAAACAACATGGGACATGAAAAATAATACATGGAATCAAATTGAGCAGGAATTTAACAGTCAAAGCAAATCAATGTTCCGCGATGCACATTCCTTGAAGACAAAATTCCGAAATATGAAGAAGGAATGCAAGGAAAAATTCTCTGCCAATAAAAAGAGCATGCTAAAAACTGGTGGTGGAGCTCCAGAGGAACTGGACATAAAAAGCACGGACGTCGAAATGAAGGACCTCATTGGGACTACAGTAGTGGAAGGTTTGCCATCTGTTTATGACGATGATTGGGACGATGAAACTGTATGCAAGGTTTGTGTTTGTTTTGCGTCATAACTAATGACAATCCGACTTCCAGGAAACGTTAAATGATAGCCAAGTAGAAGAGATTCAAGTTGTAATAGATAATGGGTCTTCAGAGGAAATGCTCAATGTAAGTAAGCAACCATTGAATAAAAAACTATTTGTTGAAAAGGACCAAAGCAGTACTCCAATTATTAAAACTGAACAGAAAGGTAAAAGTACAAGTGTTATGCTGTCAGGTAGCAAATCTTTAATTAAATTATTACATAGGTGTAAAGAATTGGTCACATTACACACCCATAATGCTACAAGGACCTGTAGATAGCAAACTAAAATTGAAAAATAAAGCAAACGAGTCTGGAATTACAAAAAATCGTAAGCGTCCCTGTAAGGTGTGCAGATATTTGTACATAACACTTATGTATTGTAGGTCCGAAAAGAATTTTAAGCTGTACAAAAGCTAAATTATATGAGGAGGTTATGGAAGCAAAATTGGACTTTATGCAGCTGCAAAAAGATAAGTTCTTAGAAGAGCATATGATAAGAAGAAAAATTCTTCAAATGGAATTGAAACTGAAAGAAGCAGAATTATTAAATGCACACATCTCATTGCCTAATGATCAGGATTAGGAATAACTTTAATTATTATTGTAATAAATAAAGTAGTTGCTCCAAACCGGCATGCCGTAAAACGGGGTGAATATAAACTTAAGGGGTAATAGAATCAAATTTACAGGATTTTTTTAATAAATTATAAATTGTTTAAATTAAATTAAACAAATCCTGTAAATTTGATTCTATTCCCCTTCAATTTTCTATTTGTCCCGTTTTACGGTACTGTACACTCGGTTGCACGGAAATCGAATACACCTAATTTTTAACTGTGTAAATGTGTCTTTTCTGGATGACACATGTATGACACTTTGTTGTTTGTTGTCAAATTAATTTGGTAAAATAATGCCAAAACTTTCCGAACAACAAAAAGTGTATATAATTGCTAAACTTGACGAAGGCTGGTCTATTAGGATACTGGCAAACCAGTTACAAATTTCGGCAAGTATCGTATTTCGAGTAAAAAAGAGGTGGAAGCAGGAGGGCACTGTAAGTAGAAAAGTTGGTTCTGGACGGCATAACATATCAACACCGGAAGAAGACGAGGTTCTTTTAAATTTTTTAAGAGCAGATCCATTTGAAACTGCCAGCAAAGCCGTTGCTCAGACTAATTTCCCAGGCTCATGGAGTACAGCCTGTGGAAGAATAAAGGCTTCAGATATTAAAAATATGGCCAGTGCTAAAAACAAATACTGACAGAGAAACAAAAACAGGCACGAATAATCTTCTGTTTAAACTACATATATCGACCAATTGAATTTTGGGAAAGAGTAGTATTTTCAGACGAGAAAACTTTTCAATCAGGCAATGATGGTCGTCTTCGAGTTTATAGACCAAAAAATTCTAGATTTGATGAAAGATATGTAGCACCCCCAAACAGATCTGGCCGTTTTTCTGTAAATGTCTGGGCTTGGATGTGTATCCGTGGACCTGGTGTTTGTTGGAGAATTGAAGCTCGTTTTAATAGAGAAACATACCTCGACATTTTGGATGGCGAGAATTTTATATTTCAACAGGATAACTGCCCCGTCCATACTGCGATAGTTGTAAGGGAGTGGTTTCAAACTAATAATATGGAATTATTACCTTGGCCTTAGCATACAGCCCAGATTTAAACCCAATAGAGAATGTGGGGGGTTGCTGGTCAAGTCAATTTATAAAAGAAATTTCCGGCCTCAAAATGCGGAGCAACTGTGGAATACAATTACCGATGCATGGGAAGCATTGCATAACAGCCAACATATTTTTAGGTCTTGTTCATTCCATGCCTCGAAGATTAAATGAAGTCATACAAAGAGACGGTGTGATGACAAAATATTAATTATATTTCTCGATTTTAATATAAGAATGTTATATTCTCGCAAGTAAATTTCGAATTCGTGCGGGAATATTTAAATTTGTATTTATTTTCGAATAAATTTATATACATATATTTACATATTACATTTTATTTGGCCAGTTCATGATCTGGGGCCTATACACAAATACTACAAGTCCAACAAGTGTACAAATAAATTATGCAAGGAGATATTATGTAATTTTTAGTTATCAATGGGGCACTGGTAACGGAAAAAAACGAAGGAGTTTTAAAGTGCTATCGCGGGTGCACAAAATTCACCCACCTTTCCAGAATAACTACATTTGTATAATGTATTTATACACTTGTTTGACTTGTAGTGTTTGTGTTATAGGCTCCTGGGATAAGTTTTTTATTACTTCTTTATTACTTTTTCTTCATTCTTGTTTCTTTCTTCTTTTGCTTGTTTCCTTACTGCTTTATTATTTATTTTGCTTTCTTAATCTGAACAATTTTAATGTAAAAAATTATATAAAATCTCTTTATAATTTTTAAATCAATGACAAATTTATTTCAATGTGACATATAATAATATAAAGTGACTTTTTATCATAACCATGCTACAAAGACATACCTTTGGTTATAGGGTTATAACCTTGATTTATAAAAGTATTCTTTACACTATAAAATAAAGTTGAAAAACAGCCACTTGACTTTTTTTCGTGTAGTCGATTTCCGTGCAACCGAGTGTACATTTGCAATATAAATATACTGAATGCCGTTTTGTCTGGTACAATGTGTTTGTGTGGATTGACACCAAATACCCAACCCAAATACAGTTTACGCTTTTGTTATCAAATGTATTTTGAGTTTAGCTTATTAAAACTAGTTTTCAAAAAATAAACATTTTTTAACAAAATTTATTACAAAGGAAAAATTAGGGAAAAAAATAAATTTAAAAAAATCAATGTATGTTTTTTCCTAATAAAAATTATTTTTTAAACATAATGCTAGTTACTTTCTGGAAAACCTGAAAGGGTCAGGAATTTTTTTCTACAGGATACTGGACACCCTGGTTAAGTATATAGCATTCATTATAGATACACATGTTACAGCCTACCAAAATAATTATATATTAAATTATGCCTGACTACGTTATTAATGCCTCGCCTATTTACAGGCGGCCTAATCGCCGTGTTGTTGTTCACATTGTTTACCAACTCAATTGCAGCTGCCTCCTCATTATTAACTGGTGGTACCCTTTCATTTTCATCACAGGCTATATTGTGCAGTACAGCTGTAGCCACTATAACAGCCTGGGTTGTAGTCATTTTTAGTCTTAATCCTAATGCAAGGCCTGGAAACCTGCGCTTCCAGATGCCGTAACTTCGTTCCACTGGATTCCGTGTTCGGATTTGTGATTCGTTGAACAAATTCTCCGCTTCGTTTTGTGTTTGCCTTAGAGGTGTTATTAAATAATTTTTAATGGGATAACCACTGTCCCCCACAATTACTGAATCTCCATAATGACCTGCTTCAAACTGTCGCATCAAACTAGAGTTTCTAAATACATGGGCATCATGCGACGATCCGGGCCAACGTGCCACAATATTGCGAATTTTATAATCTGCATCTGCGACCGTTTGCACGTTTAAGGAAAAGAATTGCTTCCTATTCCTATAAATTTCTGCGTTGTCCCCACCTGGTGATTGTATTTTTACATGACTGCAATCAATTGCACCTATGCAACGAGGAAATCTTGCAATATTGTAAAATTTCTGGCGACATTCAGCTATATCTTCCCGAGTCTCGGGCATATAAATAGTGGTTGGACGTAAGCCGGCTATGGCCCGACTTACCCTAGCTATTGCTAAGCATGCTGTTGACTTGCTCACACCGATAAAATCACCAGCTACACCAACAAATGAACCTGTTGCGTAAAATCGTAAAGTTAGCAACAACTGATCTTCAGCGGACAGAGCGCTATTTCTGCAAATACATCAATAGGTATCATATTTATATTTTAAAATAATCAGTAAAACCTGTCACTAGGATGTGCTATTATATCTTCCACTTCTTCCAGCACATTCTCCACAGTTCCTGGCGACAACCGAAACCTCGTAAAGAAGTCCTGGCGATCCCATCTTTCGAAATGATTTATTCGAGGTCTAATAATTTTTGGACGTCTCAATAAGACTTCGTCATCATCGTCATAAATATAAAAATCCCAATTCAATAAATTCATATTTAAAATTAGCCCAATATTTACTTTATTTTTAGGTTAACCACAACTTGACTAATACAATAATTGGTAGTTACGGAAACTCAAACATAATCTGCACTTTGATAAATAACTGCCAATTGTAAAACACAAAAACAAATTAACTACCAATTAAGTAGTAATTTAATTTTAACTAGTGATGATAAAACCGGGCCTAAGATATTTTTTTTTTTTTTTTAAGATTGAATATTTAAAAAATTTAATATTTCTTTAATTTATTGGTTTAAACTTTTAAAGAGTGATGTGAGCCTTGGGCCACCTGACCCTCTGGGCCCCCCCGCGGTGCGGGGTCTGCGGGGGGGCTTATTACGCCACTGATATGTCCAAAAGTTTGGAATATTGCAATATTTCTTTTTTTATTGATATTTATATATACAGGGTGTCCTGAAATTAATGCACCATACTTTAACAGCAGATTGTACGTGCAAAAATAAGAAAAAAAGTCCCTATAAACATAGGTCAAGAAATGCCTCTTAAGGGAGCTACAGCCCCCAAAAAGAAAGCCCCTGAAGTTGGTTTTTATTTAATATCTCCAAAACCGTTAAAGATATAAAAGTGAAATTTGGGGAATTAATTAAACTTTTTATGACCAATAAGACGTAACAATAACAATTTAAAATTTTTTATGAGGTTTGGGTCAAATTGATAGGAAGTAGGGTTAAAACCACCTTAACTTATTTGTACGTATCTTGTACCAGAACTTGGTGTCAGATTATGAAATTTTATAGTTTTGCACATAAAAAAGGTCATCTTGTTGAACTTCGATAACATACACCGTTTTCGCATAAAATCGATTTGAAAATTATTTTACATGTCATAAAAATTCACAATTAAATCACAACCATAGAAATTGACTCGCGTGGTCCTTGGAATACGGCTGCCATGTTTAGGAAAAAATAGAATAATTCAAGACAGGTGACAGTTTCATGTAGTAAGTGACAGCTGTCACCCTAGGGTGTTTCTACTTTTTTATTTATATTAGATCTTCAGGGGCTCCCTTTTCGGGGGCTGTAGCTCCCTTAGGAGGCATTTCTCGACCTATATTTATAGGGACTTTTTTCCTATTTTTGCACGTAGAATCTGCTGTTAAAGTATGGTGCACCAATTTCGGAACACCCTGTATATTTTTTATATAGGTAAATACCATTTTATAACGACTCCGACCAATAATATATAAACCTCAAAGACAGAGAAAATAGAGTAAATATTAACAACAGTTTTTTTAAACTACCATAGACGTAGATATATTATTTGTAAGTATTCCAAACTTTTGGACATGTGTAGCAACAATATACAATGTAACAAAAAATTGCCCTGTATTATTTTTGCCGTTCCATTTTAGCATGCTAGCATAGATTTAATAAACATAACAAAAATGCATGCCCATCCAGGCTGGCAAAAATGGTCTGCAACAGAGATGTTTTGACATTCCCTTGATGTAACAGCCTAAAAATGGACAATTGATGGGACACTGCAATGTTTTGCTGTTGCAGAGTGGCATCCAAACTGGTAACATGTTGGTGTTACTTTACAGTGTTTTGTTCCCAGTCTGTATGCACATATGAGGTAGTAGAGTGTGAGGACAAATAGTTTAAGAAACAAATGTTGAAGGGATAAGGTAACAATTATGATTACTTTATGTCTAGTATTACACTAATTTAAATGTCAGCAAATTAAATTCATGAAAAAATGAATTGCAGTGGCATACCTGGCTAATGTTAAATCATGCTTGTGATACTGCATAGCTTTCCCATAATCTCCAAGATAAAAGTATGCATTTCCTAGTTGACTGTAAATGGCACTTAGTGTTCGTATATCTTCAGTCCCAGCTTGGATTGCTGCTTGGAAAAAAGCCACACCAGCCTTGCAATCTCCCGATTTACATAGTCGTTCGCCCTCCAGGGCCAATTCCAAACACATATTACCAGAACCGTCATAGTCCTTAAAAAGAAAACATAAAGCAAACATGGATTCATGTTATTACTCATAAAAAATGCATTACCTGCGTTTCTGGATTAACATTTTCCGCACTGACACTTAACGACATAATAGGCGTTAATTTCTAAAATTTATTTAATAAGGAATGTAGTTTCAATTAATTATTATTATATTTTATAAACAAACAGGGAGTAGCATAGAAAAAGGAGTAGTCTGCAGACTGAATTGCGCATTACCAAATGTTCGTTGGGTAAAATTTTCATCAGATAAAAAATTACAGTGAGCGAAAAGCTTATTTTCTGCGATCGGACCCCTGCGACAATTGTAGACCCGGCTTTAAAGGTTGGTTGGTGTTCTTTCGAAGAACTTTTTTGGTTTGGTCTATTTTCGCTTCAGATTAAACTTTATGATCTGCGTTTAACAAAGTTTGTTGTGTCCCTTTGCAATAATTCTTTTTCTATGCTTTGCAAAGTGGACAAAGCTACGAGATTATATAATTATTATATATTATATTATAATCTTCTTAATATTAAAGCCTAATTTATAAATTGCCTTCCTTCCTTCCTCCCGTAGAAGATGAACAATACAATCCCGTACGGGAATCTATAAACGGCACTACGGTTTTCATATTGTTCATCTTTTACGGGAGAAAGGAAGGAAGGAAGACAATCTATAAATCAGGCTTAACCCAGCTGTCAACAATATTGTGTTCTTGGGTGTCAACTTGACACCAAAGAACACTGCTTGACACTGTCAAGGTAGGTAAGTATACTTTATTTATGAATATACGTTTTTTTTTTCAATCATATATATATATACAAATATATGTACAAATTTGGAAGCAGCATTTTACATTGAATCATCAAATTGAATCATCAAATTAGAGACCCCATTCCCTGTAAAGCCAGGTCTACAATTGTCGCAGGTCGCAGATCGCAGAACATAAGCTTGCGCAAAGCACCCATCTGACAAAAGAATCTTGATCCATCGCCACGTCGCGGGGTGCTTTGCGCAAGCTTATATTCTGCGATCGGACCCCTGCGACAATTGTAGACCCGGCTTAACAGAATGTAGGATATAAAGACCAAAGATAAAAACCCCCTTGGAGTAGGGTTACCAACTGGCCAGGACTGACATGGATATGGTCGTGACAAATCGTGACGGTCCTTTAAATCCCTTCTCCCCCTTCAGCATCACGAGATTTGTGGACGGCCTCTTATTATACACCGCCATGCAATAATGTAAATACATTAAAATTACCTAGAAAGAGTGGTTCCATCTATCGCATTTAGCTCGAAATCAGTGTAGACAACCAGAAATTACAGGTCACTGTAGAATAAATTCATGCACAAATTATGCAGCATAATTTATGCTACATCACAATGTGCTACATAATCCATGATACAAACAACAACATAACCTATAATATAATATTCCATGGTGAAACCATAATCTGTGAAACCATAGATAATAAATCATAAGGTCAAACCTGACCATAGATCTTATTTAATCTATGCCTTAAATCTTTTATCTAGGAACCTGAGAAAATGTCGAAAGCTTGATAATTTCAATGTAAGTACAATGTAGTACAAAATAATACAACACAGCAGAGAAAGCATAACTGCCTTGACTGGCAAACACAGCTTGTCTTTAGTAAGCGCTTTCTCCGCCCTTTGAGGGTTTATTAAGGTTTTACATTGTTTTTTACAGATATCCAAAGTAAAAAAAAATAACACAGATACTGTGATCATCAAATATAAGTAGTAGAGTTTCCATACCTATACAATGGAGCAAATAGTCATTAAAAAAGAACCTGAAGAACTAGATGTCAATTCTGGAGGTGATATTTCAATGAATTACGATATACCAATTGGTACCTCTGTGGACTCAGAAATCCATTCAACCTCCAGGATATCAATAAAACAAGAAATTAAAAAAGAATTAAAAGAAATTGAGCAAATAGTTGTTAATAAAGAACCTGAAAAACAAGTTGATGATTCTGAAGATGATATTTCAATGAATTACAATAAACCCAGTACCTCTGCTGTCCCAGAATTGCCTTTAACCACTGGGATAGCAATAAAACAAGAAATCAAAGAAGAATTATATGATGATGAAGCATTGCTTAACAAAGGGTAAGCTGTTGACATCATGGAGCCTACACATGTAGGCTCCATGGTTGACATCAGGGAAAATTGACCAAACCTGCCCACTAAATTGGACGAATTAGGTCATTTTTACTATAAGATTGATATTTTACATATTCACAGATAACATGTTTTATAAAAACATAATATAATATCTACCACCTCAGAAGTGGTATTGTACCACCAAAGAGTTGATAAAACAATTTAAAATGACTTATACAGGGATCCCTGTATAAGTCATTTTAAATTGTTTTATCAACTCTTATTTGAAACCGCATGCTAATATTTCAGGGTGCGATTGTTAAGATTATTTTATGAAGAAAAATTCATATTATTCTTTTATAAAAATGACACAATTTTAATATTACAACCAATTCTATTAATTTGATTATTTTCTACCTAACAGATCATGTACAGTATACTGTATATGTACTATAGTTGAGAGTTAATAGGTTAATGTCTGATAGGGATGTGATTGATTATGAAGTTCCCCAAGGGTATGTCCTTGGACCATTGCTTTTCTTAATCTATGTCAATGATTTACCCAATTTTAACCACATAGCTAATCACATTCTGTTTGCTGATGATACCACTATTATTGTATATATATAGTTGATACGTCGTTGAGCGCCCATTCGAGATCCTGGTTTCAAAATAATTATCTAACTTTAAATGAAACAAAAACAGTAAATATGTTTTTTACGTTGGCTAAAGAAGCAAAGAATCTTTGCCGAGCATGCAAGATTTTTGGGGGTTACTGGCCTTCAGTGAAACTATCATATACCTAGATGGGGGCAAAATTTGCCAAGTGTACCAGGTGAAAAAATTAGTATGGCAGGGCGGAAAATTGAAGAAAAACAACACCAACACTTTATTCTTTCTGTATTTTACTTTAGCCACAAAAATAAAAATTAACATAATTCTAGTAATATCCGCCAAAAATCCTCCGAATTACGAAATCTATAAATCATATTTTAATCTGCCGATTGTCAACATAATTTTACATTTTAAATTATCATTTTGTATTCGTTTACTCGCATCTACTAGGTATAAACGCATACGGCAGTGTAGTAGCTATTCGATGGCTAGACCCGCACGCATTCAAATATGAAAAACTTCCCTTCTACATGTCGGGCCCACTCTAAATTTTTTTTTGATTCAAAGGTAACATAATAAACTTCGATTTTATGCTATTTAAAAAAAAATAAAAAATACACATTGTTTAAAAAAATGCAAAATATTGCAAAATTTTAAAAAAAATTGCAATTTTTTTTTGCAAAAACGGTATAGCCCATTGAAAAGTACGGAAAAAATCATTTAAGGTGGTTAAATTGAAATATTTAATAAAGAGATGAACAGAAGTTATGAATTTTTAAATAAAAAGCGATTTCTCCAAAAAGTACTAAATCGATAAATTTCAATAATCCATAATTCTTGAATGAACAATCCTAAAGCAAAAAAATTGTATGCTATGATTTTTTGTTATAAGAACAACAAATAAGTAAAGTTTAAACAAAATCGGTGACAAAATTTTTTTCACCTGGTACACTTGGCAAATTTTGCCCCATAGATGGTGTTGCCGAGAAATTTGGCAAGCACATCTATTTTTTAAGGAATCTTGCGACTTCAGTCTCAAGCAATATAACTGTAGGACCAAGTTTTCAGAAAAGGGTATCCTTACTCCATATATGCGTAGATGCTTTTATTTATGAATTTAACAAATGTAAATACTTTGTGTAATAATTATTAGGATGTTAACATGAAAAAAAGTAATATTATATGAACATAGGTCCTCAACGGCATACATGTTTTGCTTCAGGATTTTGAAAAAAAAAATTTGGAATGAAGAAAGTGACAATTCCGATCATGGAGATGAAAGTGAAAATTTCTTCTCTTGCTATAAGAAAGCAGTACGGAACAGTGACTTTTCTGAAGATGAGGATGAATACATGTTTGAAACGAAAATGACGGTGGAATATCATGAACTTCAATATGATGATATGAATGCAGATGGATTAGGGTGAGTTATACTTTGTTATTGACATTGGAAATTTTCTATGGCTCAAGGGGGGTTTTCACGATTTTGTGTTTTCGATTATTAAAAATATTAGCACTGTGATTTTTTTTTGGTAATAATATTTTTCAATAGTGCCATAAAGTAACTTGTATTTATTACAGTATTTATAGAAAATCTATCTTAGTGCGGAAATGTAAAATTAATAGTATATTGTAAAACGAGTGTTTAAGTCATTGTAACAAGAGTTTTTTATAATATTTTGTCTATTTCGACCATAATTTATCAGTCAAATTAAATAAATATTTAAAAATGCAAGTAGTTAAATATGTGTTACTAGGTTGGCACAATTGACGTGAAGCGAAATGTCAAAATAAAAAATGTAATGACCATATACCTATAACTCCTCGGAGTTATAGGTATATGGTAATGACCGTCAAAATAAAACGTCAAATTTTGTTTTGTTTATGTCGATGCTTCTAAGAGCTAGACACAGTTTACTTCTAATGATTTTATTCACATTTTATAATATAATTTTGCCAAACAAAACCAGAAAAACGAGTTTTTAACACATCGTTGTCATGAAAATTAAAAGGGTTGCTAACCGTCTGAAATAAAAAATCCCTAATTTCGATGCTTTTAAGAAGCTCTTAGCACTGAAAACGATACGTGACGTATCGTTTTCAATGCTAAGACGTATCATACGTTTAAGAACTCTTACTTGCATGGAAATAGACAAATGTTTTTTTAGGACTGACAGTGAAGTTGTAAATAAAGAAGTCCTCCAAAAAGAAGACAAAAGTAAGTTTTTTTAATTTAAATTTTACTACTGTAGTAAAGCCGGGTCTACAATTGTCGCAGAACGCAGATCGCAGAACGTAAGCATGCGCAAAGCACCCAGCGACGTTGCGATGGAGCAAGGTCACACGTCGCAGAAAGTTAATTCATCTTCAATAACGTCTTTCGCCGGCTTTTATGTTAGCCAATCATAGAGCGCTAGAATCTATCTGTCTCTCTTTCTTTCAATAATCAATACTTTTATTTAGTTCCTTTTCCTATTTCGCGGTTATTTTTAAATTTTTGGTGTAATTCTCAGAAATTATTCGAAAAACGTAATTGTCCAAATTTAAAATAATTTTCAATATTTTCTAAAGACCATTTAAATAAATGTAGGTATGTATATTCTTATTACTATTGAATATTCATACCTATATTGATTTAAATAGGTAGTTTTTAGGAAATATCGAAAATCATTTAGAATTTTCAAATTTTGATCAAAATAATTATTTAAAATTTTAAATAATATTAACTAATTCTATGATAATCTAAACAATTTTTCCAATCCAATATTGGAAATATTTGTTTACCAAAAGTATATGATAATCAAGGTAATTTTTGTTTTAAAATTAATTTATTTTATCAGGTAAAATACTAATAAAGGTTAGTGTGAAATACTCAACCCAGTGTCACCAACACTTTACTTTTTATTCCCTAAAAATTTGCATTTTTTCATTTATATTATATATATAATATACAAATATAATTATATATAAACTCTTAAACATATTTACTTAAAAATAAACCCCAAGCAGTTTTTTAGAGATAGGGATCCATCCATATCTCTGTTTTTTTTTCACTAAATTTAGGGGAAACACTTCTACGTTGGCCACACTGTGGTTATAAAGAAAACAATTGCTCTGATTGGTCAATAAAAGCACATCGCGCGACAATTGTAGACAACTCACATAACAACGACGTGTGACCTTGCTCCATCGCAACGTGGATGGGTGCATTGCGCATGCTTACGTTCTGCGATCTGCGTTCTGCGACAATTGTAGACCCGGCTTAACAGTCCCTGGCGAAAAACTTAAAACAAAAAATAAAACTTGTACGATTTTGTTTAAAATGGACCTAAAACTTGACACAATTTTTTGAAACTTGACTATGACCGCACATTTTAAAAGTATATAAAGTAGTTTTTTTATTCGGAATTTGACATATTTCATTATAGTAAATTTAAAAGCAAACGACGTATACGTCATCGATGACGTCATAATTTTGCGCACTGGTACCAATACTAAATGTATAAAACGGAGTCTGTAATTGAATATTTTAATGCATTTAACCAAATTAAGTTGACAGGAATTGCAATGTTGTCATGTTTAGATTAAAATATTTCTTAATAAAATGACGCATAGGAGTTCGATTTTATCCTCAACGGCTGTACATCGCTCCATGAAAGTCTGAAAATAGTTGACTTTGACCCAGGAAGGATAAAATGGGGTTCCCGGTATAGAAATATACTGGTATTTCTCGACAATATCGCAAGCTTTGACCTTTCAGCGAGGTATTTTGTGATTTGTGCAATCAATTTAGTGGATGTTTCAAGATTTGAAATTCCACATGTCCGTGAGTGGATGGCATCGAGAAGCTCAAGGACGTAAAAACTTGTAACTGGGCAGTAAGAGCCTAATTGGCTCAAGTCCAATTCTCTCGAAAGCTGTTAGAGAGGTAAATAGGCTAAAGAAGTATCGCTAGTAGCGCCACCACTCGGCTGTTATCATCGTAACAAAAGTATAACTTTTAATAATCAGCTGTTAAACGCTTATGTTACAAACTAGTGTTTTTGAGAATAAAGCCGGAATATGTTAAAAAATATCGGAAAAAACCATGGCTGTGTTGTTGGGTGTATTTCGAGAGGAAATCCTGGGTTGAGTTTTTAACGGTTTTCCAATAAACAGTGTTAATCTGAATGAAGAAATAAATTGCATACAGTCTCTGTAAATATAAATTGTACCTATTAGATAAAATAAATACACATTTTAGTAGTGATTAACGTAAAAAGTGTAAACATTTCAATTCAGTAAAAATCGTCAAAAAAATAAGTCGTCTAAATTTAAACAACATTAACATTGTCGGCGTTCTTTTAGAGGACTTAAATAAAAAAATCGATTTTAAGGTTATGTTTGTGCAACAATTATTTCTTAAAAATGTCCAAACTTAAATATAAATTATATTAGGTAAAGTTATCATTAGTTAATTTTGCACCAACAAATATACTTACCGAATTGGATCCTTTGGAAAACATGAAAAAGCATTAAATTTTATTTGCAATTAAAAACACAATAAAAGCTCATTCACATCCACTTAATATGCGTAACTTAACAGTTAAGTCTTAACTTAACTTAACTTAAGAAACCTACGTCTGTTAAGTTGTCTGTTTACATTAACTTAATACACGCAAAGAACGCAATATACAAGCACGCGCAATGTAGACATGGATGTAGACTGGGTTGCCTATCTATCTATAAAAGTGAAACAACAAGATAGCGCTATATCGTTTTACTGAGCATGTGATTGGCTCTATCTATAAAAGTGAGCTAGATAGCGCTATATTGTTTTACTGGACATGTGATTGGCTCACGTAAGAAACGTATTCCCTTAAGTTGAGCCGGACCCAACTTTTGGATACGTTAAGTTACGTGTGATAAGTTTTCTACGAATGTAAACAGCTGCATTGGTTTCAATGTATTTCAACTTACGTCTCTCACGTAAGTTTAGTTAAGTTACGCGTATTAAGTGGATGTGAATGAGCTTTAATTCACCATGATCACTTAGATAAAATACACACACTAACGAAACTATATTAGCATATAAGCGTTGAGTTTCTTAATAAATGATATAAGGAATAATAAATCGAAATCAAGTTCTAAACCAAAGTTTTTTAGTTTTTACGTTTTTACAATGCAAAACACAAATAACGTGCGCGATTAAGCTGTGAAATTGAACGAAATTTGTCGTAAGAGTTCTGCCTTCCTCTCTTTGGTGAAAAAATTACTTATTTATTTAAAAATGATGTGCAGTTCGTAATACGAACTTCGTATGCTTTAAATGTATTGTTGACAATTCTTAAATTCACACAATGCTATCAAACTCCACCAGATGACGCGCGCGCGTTGCGAAAACCCGATATCGGGTTACATCGCGATACTTCTTTAGCGTATACCCGCAAAAAATACTACTTAGGGTGCGCAAAATAATAAATTCTTGAATTGTTAATTATTCAACACCCATTTTATTTCTTAACTTTAACCGGTGCTCCGCGGTTGGTAAAATTATACTTCTCCCACCAGGGTAAAAACAAGTGATTTAAAAACTAATTGAAGGCTGTCAGATGTCAAATAAAATATAAAAAAAATTGACTTTGAATTCATTGTGGTTATTGAATAAAATACTGTGTGCGAGTATTGGTCAAAAGAATCTCCTCTTTCTCCCACTAGTCGCACAATATACTATTTCTTAACTTCATCCCGTGGGCGAAATGCTACTTCGCCAACTGACTGAAGCTGGCTTTATGTTAAAAAAGTGGGGTTAAAACTGTTTGACAGTTTTCAGATGTCAGATAGAGTATCAAATAAAATTGGCTTTAAATTTCTTGATGTAGTTGATTAAAATATTGTGTGCAACTATTGGTCAAAAGAGAAGATCCACTCACGTTTTACCGCACTCCTCTTTCTTCCACTAGTCACACAATATATGTATATAGTATACTATAGTATACTATTTACTTACTTTATGATGGATAGGGAAACTATAAAACCGGACACATTAATACAATATAGTAATTAACTTTATTTTTAGTTAAATCCAACAATGTCGATAATATAATTATAAATCAAAATTCTCGTCCAAAATGTTTTTGGGTTTGGAATAGAGGATTATCTTCTAATTTAGACAATGCCGAGTTAAAAAAAAATGAAAATGAGATTGAGAATCAAAAAGTAATTTAAAAATTATATACATACAAAAAATAATTTTAATAATTTTTAGCATTTTCCCTGTTCCAATGCCTCTTTTATACAAAATGAAGATAAAAAGGTGATATTATAAAATTTGTTTAACTTTTTGTTTTAATATGTATATTTTTTAAGGAGATGGCGGACTTGCTGGAAATTAAGAATGGGAAAATGGTACCATATATTTTTTTTATTTACTATCATACTAATTAAATATTTTTTTTAGGAATCTGAGAGTTTCATAGATTTTTCAAAGGAAATGGATATTCAGTCTAGCAATGCAAGTTATTTTTATTTTTATATTCGTTATTCAAAAATTGTAAAAGTAATGTTCATAAAAATGTTGCCTTTATTATCTAGGAAATGATTCCTGAATATCTGTCAACAGGGGCGCCGGAATGTTTTTAAAGCGTGTGTTGACTAGGTCTAGTCATAGTTAAGGAGGCATTTAAGTATTACATATGCAGGCTTACATGGTTTAATTTTATTTCTTTTGCTGTGAAATGGAGGGCGATATTCTTATTTTTGCATTTACAAGGGTGGGGTGCCTAAAATCATGTAAAGTGTGTATGTACTTAGAAGTTTCTGTAATTAATTAACCACATAACAATGGCGTTTTGGTATACCAAACCTAATAGTATAATTAGGACGATTTTTGATTGTTTTATCCAAAGTCTAGGGTCTCTTAGACATTATCTGCATGTTAAAAAGGGCAGCCAAATGAGAATATATAACTATATTAACTTATTAATAAATTAATTGTTTTTGATAGATTTTAAATGTGATGTACCTTTTTTTAGGAAACCATTTTAAATGAAAACGAAAAAGTAAACATTGTTACACAAGACAAACAAACAGATAAATTAAATGAAAACAAGTATATAAGGAAACGCGATTTTTGTTATTTTTGTAAAACTGATGTGCTAAATTTTGCAAGACATGTCCTCACTAGACATAGTATGGAGCAAGATGTTCAGAAGATTCTTACAACACAAGTAAATAGTAAAGAACGAAAAATTTTGTTTACTCAACTAAGAAACAAAGGCAATTATACTAAAAATTATGGGGGATATTTTAAACCTGTTAGAAAAGGTATGTTGCAGGACACTGAATACTTGCCATGTGAAAATTGTTTGGGGTTCTTTTCAAGAAAGTTGTTATTTCGTCATAAGAAAAGGTGTAAAATAAGCAGTTCCAAAGCACAAATCAAAAGTCAGAATCATTTATTAAGTCACATTAAAATAGATGAGCAGTTGAAACAGGAAGTATTTCCTCACATGAGAGCAGACAAAGTATCTCTTGAAGCTAAAAAGGATCCCTTGATTTGTGCTTTTGGTGCAAGATACCTAAAAACTCACAGAGAAAAACATGTTATATCTGTTACATCAAGAAAAATGAGAGAGCTTTCAAAAGTTTTAATAGAAGTCAGGAAAATGAATTCTGCCATCACAAATTTATTTAGTGCTCTGCAAACAAAATATTTTGATTATTTTGTGGATGCTACAAAAATTATTGCTAAATATGATAAAATAAATAGAAAATACGAGGCCCCAACGTATGCTATAAACATTGCAACATTATTAAAACAATGCTGCGATTTAGCAAATCAGTATTCTACCGTAAACAGTGCGGAAGCAGAAAGTGACCTCAAAAATATGATTCATTTATTCAATTTAAACTGGAGCTTTGAAGTCTCCACAGAAGCAGCAAATACTTTAAACACTAAAAAATGGAATAAAGTAACAATGATACCATTAGCTACTGACTTACAGTTACTTAAAAGTTATCTAATTAAAGTATCAGAGGCAGCATTATCGAATTTGGAACAAAAAGAGTTAAATGTAAGAGCATATAATAATCTAATGGAATCAATATATTGTAGAGTAATATTACTTAATCGAAAAAGACCTAGTGAATTACAGAGAATGATGTTAAACACTTATCTTTCAACTGGAAATGAGAAACAGCATTATGAAGAGTTTTATAAAGCATTTACTCCAGCAGAGAAAGTCTTAATAAATAATTTAAAACTTGTTGTTATAAGGGGTAAACAAGATAGGGGCATACCTGTGCTATTTAGCAAAGATGTACAAACACATATACAAAAACTTCTAAAATTTAGACCTAAATATGTTTCAAACCAAAATGTATATTTATTTGCAAAAGCAAATTCAACAAATAATAGTATCATTGAAGATAAAATAATAGAAAAATTTGCAAAGAGTTGTGGAGCAAAAAATCCATCAGCTATAACCTCTACTCGGTTAAGAAAACATTTGGCTACCCTTACGCAAGTATTTTCCATGACAGAAAATGAAATAGAACAATTAGCTCATATCATAGGCCACACTGTGGGGGTTCATAAAAACTCATATATGCTTCCAGATATTGTGTACCAGACAGCAAAGATATCAAAATTATTAATTTTAATGGAAAGTGGTTGTGCTGATCAATATAAGGGTCAGTCCTTAAATGAAATTGAAATAAATTTGGAAGCAAATCTATTAGAAGATACACCAGAAAGTGATGAAGAATGTATTGAACTACCTTCAACAAGTAAGGGAGTTTGTCAGGAATTGCTGACTAAAAAAACAAGAATATTAATTCCCTGGACAGACCAGCAAAAGACTTTAGTAAGGAAGTTTTTTAAAAACCATATTAACAAACAACAAGCCCCAAAAAGAAAAGAATGTGAAGAATTAATAGCAAGACATCCAAATTTATTTAAAAACAAAAGTTGGCGTAAGTTGAAAGTTTTTATACAAAATGAATATTCGAAGAAAAAAAAATAATTCAGTTCCTGCACAGAAGTATAGTCGCCGCGGCGAATGTTTTCCGTTGCGTCATCAATTTTTGAACCAAGCACAGACATGTATGCCGGACGTATGTCGACAAACCGGTTTTAAAATTGATGACGAAACGGAAAACATTCGCCGCGGCGACTTTATAATATTTATTTTTCTTACTGTTTTTATTCTTAATTAATATATTCTTAAGTAATATGTACTGTAGTTTTATTTTTTTTACTTTCCTGTTAATATTTTAAAAGTTCATTTTAATTTTACAATATTTTATGTAATTATAGGTAGGTATCACAGACCTGTGGTAGGTATATAATTTTTAATAAAACACATTTGTTTGTAGAAATCTTTTATTTTAAATACATAAAAAACATAAATTAAAAAATAAGTATACTTATTCCTTATAAGGAAAATAAACTCTATTACAAAACAAAAACACAATTCTTAAAATAAATTAGCAAAGTAAAATTAATTATTATTATTCAATATCGCAGCACGACAATAACTTATTGTTTTATTTATTTTTAGTCTTATTGAATGAAAATATATTAAACATCATTTTCAATAAGGTTTCTCGATTCTCTACTGGATTGGCATAGACTAAAGTTTTTAAATAGCCCACAAAAAAAATTTAATTTATTTAGGTCAGGTGATTGAGGCTGCCAAGCCACTTATCCATCGATTTTCGAAGGTCCTGTTTAGGTATTCTCCAACTACTAGGCTAAAAAGTGCCTGTGCATGAACCACATTTCACGTATTGCCAGATGTAGATCGTATAAAAGTTATGTCAAATTGTTTTGAAGAAATTCCAAATAAAGGTCTTCAGGCAATACAAATGGTCCAATTAAATGTTGCCCGATTCCGGACCATACGTTGATGGGTTGAAATTGGTGCTAATGATGCGATTTTCTTTGGTTTATGCCATTTTTATAAAATACAGCTTTGTCCGTAAAAAGAACTAAACCAATGAATTTTGCACCGTTTCTGTGCAGATCTAAAACTCAGTTAGAAAATTTCATTCTCCGTGGAAAGTCTTTAGGAAGAAGCGCATGGACTTTTTGAAGATGGTACGGGTTCAACTGTTGTTTCAGTTGAAAATAGAGTTTTGAAATGTTTGATCTTTTTCTTCTTGGTTAGTTACCCAGGTAGCAGGCTGACGTATTTAACACGTTGTTTATTGTTCATGAAAGACGTCAAAAATTACGTAAATAAAACGTAAAAAAGACGTGCGAAAGTCACACCAACGACGTCTTTTTTTGACGTGAGAAAGACGTCTTTGTAGGAGTAAAAGAAGTTAATTTACGTTATTATTTAGTTTTAGCAATATTCAAATCTGCACACTTTCGAAATGATTTAGGTGCAGAAAAGGCAAGTGCAATTAGGCTGTAAAATAAGCAATCCAAATATTCGGACAATTTAATGAAATTGCTAGTAAAGTTATGAGTATAAGATACGTATAACCGGCCCCATTGCCCCTTATTCCAGATTGTCAGTCTCTCAAGCCTTTGCTTATCAGGGAATAAAATGTCATAATCATGTGTCAAATGTTATTTTATCTTGTAAAAATATTAATATTTTAAAGAAAAAATTACACACTATTTTTTTAAATAAAATGTACTATTCTGTTGAAGAATTTTTTAAGGATTCTTTTTAATTTTATCATTAAATTTTATTCTTGTATATGTTATAGTATTTAATATTAAGTGTCATTATTTTTACTTATTTTTGTGTGACTAGTCATATAGGCAAAATTTACTTTGTAATTTTGTTTTACTGATGAATAAATTAATATTATTATTATTATTGCCTCATCACTCCCGGACCCCGCACAGGCCTCTGTTACCTACGCCGATTTTTTCCGCCAACACCGACACGGCTTCACCAGTTCTTGCTGGGTGCGAATGTCCATTGCGTCCCGTACTGTACCTTATTTGGGGCTCGAAATCGAAATGCCAATAGTTTTAATAGCCATTCCCGGGTTCGCCGGGCCGATGCTATACGCCCAGTAGGAGCATGCCACACTATTTTCACTTTATAAGCAATTTTATTTTGCTGTTTGTAAGTTTCAAGCGCGCAACATGGCAAGATGCGACTAACTTTGACGAGTACTCGAACGTGACTGAATGAAATTACTAGTAAAATTATTTAATATTTATTTAAAGGGTAAAAAAGGCCACATATGTGATCACTTTTTAAAAAATATAATATTACTAGCAATTTCATCGAATAGTTCAAAAAGATAAATTGCTTAGTTACAGCCCAATTGCAAGAAGAATGTTATAATCATACCCCTATTATGAGGTAATAAACGCTTTTGAAATTTGATCCAAGGGTGAGTTTTAAGTTGGCGCGTTCCTTTTAACAGTGTGTAGAAATCAGCTAGACAAATAAATATTTTAAGTAACTTTTTTATCAAAACTCAAAAATAAAAAAGTTATAGCCCATCAAAGTTTAATTTAATTTTAAGCCGGTCCTGGCTATTGTTAACGAAAAACATAACCATAAAAATATCAAAATAAACAATGCAAAATGTCATATTTGACAACAAACATAACCACCCTGACAACAATCGGGATTTCCTGGTGAAGTCATGATGATATCACAACGTGATTTTTTTTATCACGCTGTGATATCCTGAGTGCATACACATGCTTCATCACAGTGATATCATGTAGAACTCCAGTGTGATATTTGCAAAATTTGCGCATGCGTATGAGCCCTGCGAATTTAAAACCTACCCGGACAACATTCGTGATATTCATACGAACATCACGTCGTGATTCGAAATTTTATTCATACGGACATCATCCGGATGTCACTGCGTGAGAAATGAAAATCATGTCGTGATTTTTTATGCCATCGCTGTTTGCGATTGACCGATGGCACAAAAAATCATGTCATGATTTTTTATGCCAACGGTGTTTAGATAATCATTTTTGCGCCACGTTCGTACAGTAAGAGAAAAATTATGTTGAATCAGCAGTTTTTGCGGTTAAATACATTTAATATTTTCTTGGATTTAAGTAAATTAACTATTAATTTAAATCCAAAAAAATATTGAATGTATTTAACCACAAAAACTGTTGATTCGGTGCACCGATGTCGTGATTTTTTATGCCCAAACACCGATAGCATAAAAAATCATGTCGTGATTTTTATGCCATCGGTGTTTGGATATTTATTTTTGCGCCACATTCGTACATTGAGAGAAAAAGTATACCTACATACAGTGTGTCCGTAAAGTCCCGGAACATGTGATTATTTTGAAAACGGTAATTTAAAAAAAAAAACGCTGAAACACGTCAACTTTTATATTTTTCTAGCAATATTTTAGCCTATGTAGTTGTTCCAAAATCTGCCGCGTGGCGGCGCCCCAATCAAAGTAAGGTTTTTTTTTTAAATTACAACCCTTTTCTTTTAACTACTTTATGCTTTTTTAACATTTAAAATAATTTGATATATTTTTGCGTTAATACACATTTTTACAAATTTCTCGTGTTAAGTAATATATATTAAAAAAATACAATATTGGTTTAATAAACAAAATTTATTAAATTAATAAATTTAAATACATTTAAAATCATTGCTGCAACCAGGTTCCAATTAATTTCTTAATTTCCTTTCTTGCTGCTTTTAACTGTGGCAAATCATCGTCCTTAGGGGGATACATGTTAGCACAATGGGCGGTACCTAAAAAAATACATTTAATACAATTTCAAACTAAACTGATGTAAAATTACCTTCAATATAAATAGCAGGGGCTTTGGCAAGTTTTGTTTCTGTGATTCCCAGGGCATGCCATGGATCAACGGACCCATGCACAAAAACAACATTGTCCACTTGAATGTCCAAAGCACCATACAGTGTGTTTGTTCTTTCTATGGCGCGGCCAATGTAGGATTCGTTAAATTTCGGTCCAAAAATATCTTCGCATTGCTGCACATAAAAGCTGGCAGGAAAATTGTTGCCAAATAGTTGCGGCTCGTAAGCAGAACTTTGGAAAAATGCAAATTCAGTGCATGTTTGGTATGTCCATTGACGACCTTTTAGAATAAAAAGTAGTTTAGAGAACAAATAAAAAGTCCTTATGACACCAAATTCATTGTTTATTATTATTTAACGAGAGGATTGGGTGTTTTCAAGGGCGTAGATGTTTTGTGCCATCCATGGTTTTTTCATGCTCTTGATAAAGAAAGATAAGGGGCTAATTGGTATGTATGCAGGATTGGAAAAAACCCGTTTTTTTACACAAAGCCCAACCAGAGCTGTTCCGAGTACAAGAAAAAAGTACTTGAGTAAAAGTATAAGTACTATGAAAAAAATTTACTTGAGTAGAATGTACAAAAAAATCCAAAAGTACTCACGAGTACAAGTACAAGGTACTTTTTCCAAAAACTCTTAAAATGTAATTTAGGTTTCAGTATCTAGCAAAAAAAGTTGTTAAAAGTTAAACAAAACAAAATATCAGGTTTAGGTCACTTGGGGATATTTAAAAAAAACTGCATTTTTATATTTCTTTAATACACGTATTTATTTATGATTTGAATATTTTTTTCTAAATAACCAATTATTTCGATTTTAAACTAAAAATAGATTAACTATTATTTTACCTATAACCTTTATCACCTATAAGTATACCTATTCATGCAAATAATTTATTATATATTTTATTTAATAAATAGCCTAAACTTTATTTAACTGCAAGCACGAAATTAAATTAAAGTAACATGCAATTATGACTGCAAAAAACAAGATTGAATGCAAAAATATTTTTTAATTTTTTAAGCGTACCAAATATAACAAAAACTTAATTGAGTAGGTAATCAAATACAAAATAATATTTAAAATCTTACTTACCCCAGTATAACAAAAACCAAAACACTTAAAAAAACCGTTACATGACATGACGGCACTACCAGAGATAAAAAAGGGCACTACCTCTTGTAACATATAATAATATATAAAGTAGGGCACCACAATGATATTTTACCAACTTACCCATATCGAAGATTTATTCTGAATATTGCTGAACCGTTAAACTTTAGCTGCTAAAGCAATATAATTTTAAAAGAATTACTGTCAAGTATTTTTACAATAAAATCTATAAAGAAGAAGGTAGGTAGTGAAAATATCACTTATTTTTGACTACGTTCGTCAATTGTATAGGTGGGAATCCCCAAACTTAAAAATTAAATTTTGTTTGATCGTTTCTCTGTATGAGTATGAGTATGAGTATGGGAACGTATGGCAAGCCCCAGATATATTGTCATCCACTGAACCCGGGGTTATATTACCCCCTTTCCGTTCTCCTGCGTATCCCGCCAAATCACAGCATTACCTGTGTTTGTTGGATCCGAAGTTTTTACGCCGGTTGGTAGATCCACCCTAGGAGTTCGTGGATGACAGTGTCAAAGGTTAAGGCAGCTCCCGGAATTTTTGTCAGCCGGGTCGGGCCATACGTCCAGTTTAGGAAGGGTTTTTGGAGGACATTGAACTGACCCAAAACTAAGTACAATCCGGAATCCTCCTCAACCTAGGCCTTAGTAGTACCCCCATTCAATTGGTATTCGTGAATGGGGGGTGGGTATGTTAGTTAGTTTCTTACTCCTATCTTTGTTGGTTTACTTCCGGTTCGTCAGTTTCTGTGTCCGTCTCCGAGTCGGATTCCGGAAGTTGATACAGTTTTTCCGTCTCCTCCCGCATACGGTTTTTGTGGGAGCTGATTTGTTCCCAGCTGGCGAGATCGGTTTGTGAGAATTGGATTGTCTGGGCCAGGGTGTCGTGGAATGTGTAGCAAGATCTACCGACTTTTTTTTTGACCGGTTGCTATTGTTATGTCTGAAGGATATCTTGTCACTACGCCCCTGTTCGTGATGTATTTCGATTGCGACGTTAAATATGTCTGATGCTGCTATTATTGTTTTTAAACCCAGCCAGAAGCCGTTTTGTGCGTGGTCCTTTAAGTACGCCTCTGTTTTGCGTTCCCAGTCGTTAATATGCGCGTAGCGGTGGGGATGGTCAAGGATCGCATCCTGTAAGTATGGGCTGTAAGTCTCCATGTGTGTTCGTAAGTGGTTATTTAGTCTTTGTCTTAATGCGTATGTATTTATTGACCCTGTCAGGCTATTTCTAGTTGATGGGCCAAGCTGGCCACTAAGCAATTTCCGTCGGATGGCATTTTAATTATTCCCACCGAATGATTGCTCGTGTTTACTTTTTCCATGTTTGTTTGGTTTGTGTTTATTATTATTTATGTTTTGGCGTTTATTTATGGTATTAGTCAAGTGTTTATTTGGGGGATGGAGTCTTATCTGCCTTTTCTGTTTTGTTTATGTAATGACTTGTGTGGTCTGTCTAATAGGAATGTTTACTTTCTGGTGCCAGCTGGGAAACTTAAAATTCCTTTTCGAAATATGATACTAGATTTTTTGGAATAAAATGGTTTGTTATTAGACATGCACTGAGAGAACGAAATATTTGTTAATAACGAGGCACGTTAACTATTAACATATCGTTGAGTTGGATATGGCGAAAGAAATATTAATTTGGGTCTAAGAACTGGTTAAGTTGAATTAAAGAAGCTCATAACGTATTAGCAAATGTAGATATATTAACTGTTAATATATCAAAATTCCATTTTGTAAAAAACTACGGCAACGTCACATGCTTGCGCATATTGCATTTAAAATTATGTTGACAAATGTTAAAACGTTTTATTTAGGTATATTAACTGTTAATATATCACAGTTCCAAGACAACTTTATCCTTTATTTGTCTGAAACACAGTCACCGGACGATGTTTTAATAATTAGTATATAATTTGTTCACGATTAAGAAATTTTTTAATAGTTAACAAATATTTTAAAAATCGCAACTGTTTTGATTTCTTAATATTAAATATTTCGTTTTCTCAGTGTGCAGTTAGAAAAATTACTTAGCTTGGATATTCGGCTATAATCCTGATGCTCGGTCTTTCACGGTCTGTCCGATGTTTCTGGACCTCCCTGCAGGTACTTGATAGGTTTTGGTTGCGACTATCCCTTCTGACCAGGTGGACCGTTGGCCTTTATTACTTATTCAATTGCACTCTTTTACGGCTTTAATGGGAGATCTCCCACTCTTCACACTTGTTTCACTTTTTTTTGCACTTGTTGCACTCTTTTTGCACTTGTTGCCCTTATCACACTTTCCGCACTTGAATGTTTATTTATTTATTTATTTATTTATTTATTATTACCGATGACCGATATTTCCGAATACTTTGGTTTGTTTTTGGAACTTTATTATATTTCTCTCGTATACGCTGCTAGGAGAGGTCTCTTTAACCACTTGACACGTCTATCCACTTCGGATGTCCCGACGCAACTGATCGTTTGTTTGATCGTTTCTCTGTATTATAAATAATTATTTATTATACATCAAGGCATTTTTAGTTTGACCAGCGCTTTATGCGGATGTTCTTTTAAGTCTTAGCTAACGAAGTAATGAGTATAATGCTTTAAATTAAAGGCTTGAGTTTCCTTATTTATATAAAAATGTACCTACTGTAGGTATTGTTTTCCTTTAAAAAAATAATAAAAGGTATAGTTTAAGTTTAAGAAAAAAAAAAGAAGAAAAAAATAAAAAAAAAACTACTTTTTAAAAAACTTTCCGCCGGGATCGAGACTTGGCAAAGTATAAACAAAAATAGGAAAAATATAGAAAAATGCACAATTTGCTAAAAATCGTAGTAACTCAAATTTGTCATTGACAAGTTGTCAATGACAATTATATTGTCTGTTTGAAATAACGAGGTCCATCCAAAGATTATATTCTTTGGGTCCATTCCTTTCACAAATATTGCTCTACTCAATATATTTAATGCATAAAAAGTTCACATTGTGAAACAATATTTACCTATTTAAATACGTTTGTAGTAAAAAGGTAATGGCTACTCAGAGAGTCTCGGCCTTTTTCGCCGATAACTAGATCTAACTAGATCTCGGCCAGATTTTTGGTCGAGAATAGCCGAGACCGAGATCTCGGTTGGACCTTAATAAAGATCAGCAGTTTTCCTACAAGAGGTTGGAATCCAACTGGCTTTAAGGGTCAGTATGATGATGGTGTATTTGATTCCATCTTTTTTAATCATGATTTCCATGACTTGTGGGACAGGAAGCTATTCACTGCCTATCTTACTTTATCCCTTGTGAAGATTTTCTTAGAAAAATCAAACGCTGTTGTGATACCTTTGTATTCAGGAACAATGGAAGATTGATGTTAAAAAGAGTCACATTTAAAAAAAAATGAAAGTGTCCAAATGTGTTAAAAATGGCATAATAATAGGATTTTTTTTAAAGAAAAACATCAAGCAAAATATTAAAATTAAAAAGGACTTTTAACCAAATCAATGCAAGTTTAAGATGGCTAATTATGACAATGCCTGGTATAATATCCAAAAATAGTGCTGAAACTGGTGCACCAATGGTATGTATAAAAAATATAATTTTTTTGACGGGTAGTTTTTGAGTTATTAAGCATTTAGATTTTAAAAACTCAGCAATGCTGTGTATTTCCTAAGTCACACACTTCTAAAAACATTGTTATGGAAACAAAAAAACAACGCATTTTCTTGGAGCTAAAATTAACATGTCTTCTCTGACAGTTTCTGGGTTTCTAGCTTATACAAATTTTTATTTTTGAACCGTCTTGAATAAAATTTTTAAGCCCCTATAAGTTAGTTAGATAGGGGTTCCAAAATTTAATTCAAAGCTATAACTCAAACACTACTCATTAGAACAATTTTTTGTAATTTTGGATACTTAAGAACCCCCTTATAGCATAGCATACAACTCCCATTTTGTCATTTTACACACAATAATTTTATTTTACCTCCTTCTGCTTGTTCACTGTCCCAACTCACATTCCTCAAATCCTCTATCATATTATCATACTTATAATCCAAACACTTTTGATCATAGGCTTCCAAAGTAAGTTCATTCACAACGGCTAAACGATGTACTTGAGGTCCAATTGTCTGATTGATCATAATATTACATAAAGTATCCAGTGTAATATTCCCTGTTGCACTTTTACCAATCCTGTTATCTTTATTGTACTGAGCTATGTTAGCGAAATTTCCTGCTAATGTTTCGAAAAAGTTCGAGATATCCATTGGGTTATTAATAGTTTTTTCTAGTGGATCACACAAATTAAATAGCTTGTTTAGTTTTCTTTGTCCTACCATGTGTTTGAGAAGAGTATTGATTTGTTGGGTGCCTTGTTGAACTGCTTTAAAACATTCTTCACTGGTTGTTTTAAGGTCTTCATTTATTACTCTAAAGTAATCTAAAAAAAGTTAACAAAAATAAGATACCTATCTAAGAAAAAAATATTTTTATTAAAATATTTCAATATTTAGTTTGTCCAAAATTCATAATGCAATCAATTGTTTTCACGATTTAAAAAAAATCTTTTTAGGTAGGAACAAGGGTATTTCCATTATAACGGGTGCGACACTAAAACTGCGTTTTTTATGATAATAAAGTGTTGGTTCATATATATCAAGATAATTTAATATAAAGAAATAGTATAAAAAATTATGAATTTAACTAAAACAAAATGTCAATAAAAACTTGTATAGAAAACCTTTTATAGCATCATGAATAGCGTAACGGGCGCGACCTTAGAAAATCGGCTAATGCGACCAAGTTGGCTTCTAAAGTTGATGCTGTAAAATTTTGGATGAATGCCCTATTAAAAATGCCCTATAGAACAATATTGATCCAGATAAGGAAACTAATATGGATTTATGTGGTTCTATATGTCGTATATGGTTTAATATGGAATTTCATTTTAAGATGTAGAACTTAGGGAATATAGGGAAACCTATATGGAAAGACACATGAAACAGAAACCAGATAAATCCATATAAAAATCCCTAAGTTCTACATTTTAAAATGAAATTCCATATTAAACCATATAGATTCCAAAGTGTAAACCATCGTTCCATATACGACATATAGAACCATATAAATCCATATTAGTTTCCATATATGGTTGAATATTGAATTCCATTTTAAAATGTATATATATTTAAACGAAAATTGCATATTAAACCTTATAGATTCCCCTATATGGTTAAATATCCCGGACAACATGATATTCATACAAACATCACGTCGTGATTTTTACAAATTTTATTCATACTGATATCATACGGAAGTCACCGCGTAATAAATGAAAATCATACGAACGTCACGTCGTGTATTTCACAAATTTTATTCATACGGACATCATCCAGGTGTCACTGCGTAAGAAATGAAAATCATGTCGTGATTTTTTATGCCATCGGTGTTTGGATATTTATTTTTGCGCCACATTCGTACATTGAGAGAAAAAGTATACCTACATATATTTTGAATCAACAGTTTTTGTGGTTAAATACATTCAATATTAAATGTATTTAACCGCAAAAACTGTTAATTCAATTGTTAACATACTTTTTCTTTCAATGTACAAATGTACAAAATAAATATCCAAACATGTCGGTGCACCGATGGCATAAAAAACCATGTCGAGTTTCTTTATGCCCAAACACCGATAGCATAAAAAATCATGTCGTGATTTTTTATGCCATCCGCGTTTGGATATTTATTTATTCACACATTGAGAGAAAAAGTATACGGCCATTCCACGCGTAACGGATGGGACAGTTGCAAGTTTTTATTTACAAAATAACATTTTTCTAAATATTATTAAATGCACAAATATTGTATAGTTTATTTTCTAAAATTTTCTCAAAATGTAACGGGTGCGACATTTGAACATTTTATCGAGTATTGAAACTCTTCGAAACACAGATCTGTGTTTATTCTTAATGTTAGCTTCTTAGCATTACAATGTATATTTTGAATATTTTAAGGTTATAAATTACGTCGCAATCAAACTATTTGACTTCAGATATACCTAGTTGTTATTTTGTTAAATAACACATCTGATTTTTTATCAAGGTGGGGTAAGGAAATACCCTAAAGCAATTTTTAATAGTTAACAAAATTAAAATTATTAAAAAAGCGTGCTGTATAGATTCCCGGCAGAGCTTTCACGTTAATCAATAATTGACAATTATTGTCAACCCTGCCTTTTTAGTTTCCATAAAAACCTTTTTAAGAGGTAGCTTATCTCACACCCAGCATTCCCAAGTTTACATGTACACTTTTGGAACAATTTTCACGCAATCAATTTTTCTACTACGCATGTGCCTGATGTCGATTTAACAGTCAAAATGTTCGGTACGAGGAAACAGACTTAGTGTAAAAATCATATATCTATCATAGTAATAGAAAATTATAATTTTCAAAAAAAAAAAAATTGAATGTGGGTAGTAGTAGTAGTACGGTTGGGTAGGCTCGAAGCCTGACAATTAGACTCCATGGTCCTTTTTATCTGCCCCTCCTAAACCAACCAGACTACTCCTCATCTTCCTCTTCGCCCATACCAGCCCTTTCGAATCTTCCAGACCTTCTTATAAAGGTCAGGATATCCTGCCAGGCAAGAGAGGCCAACTCTTCCCTTTGGAGTGTCATCACTCCAAAGATTTTATACCTTAGTCTGCCGAGGGCCTCACATTGTCCCAGGAAGTGAAAGGAGGTTTCATCCTCCCTTCCGCACTGGGTACAGGAGGGGCTGGTTTCAGCCCCTATTCTTGTGAGGTGTTTCCTTAGGCCATGACCTGTGAGTATATTCACAAGTGGGCCCAAGGAGGTTCGGCTTCTACCTAGAAGCCAGATGGATTTGGGTTTGCTTAGGGTGACCAGAAAATCCCTGGTCTGCCTACAGCCACCGCTTCTTCTCCAGCTTTCATTCGCTCTTTTATCAGCCCAATTATTTAGGGCTGATTTGACCTGCTTTCTCGTGATTCCAAAAATTGGTTCGGGTCCTACACAGGGGGTTTCAGATCCCAATCTGGCCAACTCATCAGCCCGTTCGTTACCCTCAACCCCACTATGACCTGGTACCCATACGAGATGCACTCTTTTTGTACTTGCTAGCTTTTCCAGCGCTTCCTCACACTCTTGAACCAACTTCGATGTGGTTCTCGCTGCCCAAAGCGCTTTCAGAGCTGCTTGGCTATCTGAGCAGATATATATATCTGTCTCACTCCCTGTTCTTATATCCTCACAGTTTGCAACCTCAAGTATGGCAAACACTTCCGCTTGAAAGACAGTGGTATATCCTCCGAGCGGGTAGCTCCTTTGGATATCCCTGTCCTCCACGCAGAAACCTGCCCCTGAAGACAGTGTACTCGCCATACGAGAGCCATCAGTGTAGCACACTAGTGCATTTTGTGCAAAGTGTACATCCTTTTTCTCCCACTGCTCTCTTGTTGGTATCGTGAGGGAAAACTTCTTTTTTAAACTTAGGCGGTCTTTTGCTGGCATCGTTCTAATACTGCTAATTGGGACCTCCCTCTCAGCCATATCCGCGATGCCCTCATGACCATAAGTTATTCCTTTTCCTAACCAATTGTTGGCATCCCTCATCCTTAAATGGCTCGCCATTGCTTCTCTCTTTATCCAGAGGGAAAGATTAGGCAAGCTCAGCAAGGCCTCTAATGCCGTCGTTGGAGTAGTCCTCATTGCGCCTGTGATACCGAGACATGCCAGTCTCTGTATCTTGCTCAATTTTTGAGCGATGGTGGTTTTGCTCACACTGCGCCACCAGACCACTGATCCATAATGTATCCGCGGTCTGATGACAGCAGTATAAATCCAGTGAAGGACTTTGGGATTTACTCCCCAGCGTTTTCCCACCACCCGGCGCAGCTGCCAGAAAGTTGCAATCGATTTGTCAACAACTCTGTCAACGTGTGATTTCCAACTTAACTTCCTATCTAGGGTAACACCTAGGTACTTGACCTCTTCAGTAATCTCAAGAGGTCTTCCATACATGGCTGGTGCCCTGAAGTCCTGTATCTTCCTTCGTTTGGTAAAAAGAATCATGTCAGTTTTTGTTGGGTTAACCGACAGACCGTTTTCTTTGGACCAATTTTCTATTATTCTGCATGCTGTCTGCATTCTGTCGCAGACTACACCTAGAATGCCTCCTCTGATTAGGACTGTACCATCATCTGCATATGCTTGTGCATACAGCCCTTCGGCCGTCAGTCTCTCCAGAAGTCCATCCATTATTAAACACCATAGGTGGGGTGATAGGCAGCCGCCTTGTGGGCAGCCGCCCCTCACACCGATGTCCAAATGGCAGTCTCCCAGAGATGCACTGACCTGCCTCTCCTCCAGTGAAGATTTAACCCAACTAACCAGGACTGGGGGAGTGCCTCTGGCTTGCAGCGCTTCACAGATTGTAGATGTCCTCGCCTTATCAAAAGCCCCCTCTACATCAAAGAAAACAGCTAGTGCCATTTCCTTGTAGTGCAGTGCCTTTTCGACTCTATGCACTATAGAATGAAGAGCCGTTTCGGTCGACCTTCCATTTCTATAGGCATGTTGATTCTTATGGAATGGGTACCTTTTCAGCACCCCTTCTTGCAAGTACCGGTCCACGATCCTTTCTAATGTTTTAAAAAGAAAGGATGTTAGGCTTATTGGCCTGAAGGACTTTGCAGCCGAGTAGTCTTTTTTCCCTGCTTTGGGTATAAAGACCACTTTAGCTGCCCTCCAGGCTCTTGGGACATATCCCAGTGCCAGACTGGCTCGGAATATTCGTTCTATTCTTGGGAGAAGAATCTCCAAGCCTCTCTGTAGCAATGCTGGGAATATTCCATCCGGTCCTGCTGCCTTGTATGGATCGAACGCATTTACTGCCCATTCCACCGATCCCTCCTTCACGACGTCTTTGGCAAGGCCTAAGTCCCAGGTAAGGGTCTCTGGCCCCTCCGTTGTTGACGTGTGGGAAGGAGTTTCGCCGGGGAAGTGCGTTTCCAGGAGATGTCTTAGGGACTCTTCACTGGTGTTCGTCCACGATCCATCCAACCTTCTTAGGATTCCTACATTCCTTTTGTGGGTAAGGCTTATAAAAAAAAATTGTTATTATAATAACAATTTTTTTTTCAAAACAAAGTCCCTATAGAGGCAATAACTTTACAATCAGGATTGTAAATACACCAGTGAAAATTAAAAAAAAAGTAGGTATGTAAAGTTATTGCCTCTATAGGGACTTTGATTTAAATTTTTTTTTATAAAATTCTGAACCTTGGTAAATTTAAGGTCCACATCAGGAAGCCTTACCCATGTCTAGAATTTTTTGCTGACATTAGAAATGTTTATAAACAAGTCAAAAAAACAAGGAATAAATAAATATGTAAATGAATTTTGGACAAAACAAAATGTTTTTATTTTATTTTAATAACTAATAATAACTAGTTACCTTTAAAATCCAATTGAGCCAAAAGTGGTCCACTGGCAGACATTGCTCCATGCACCAAGTGTGGGTATTTTTGTCTTAACCAGGCAGCCAAAGAACCAGGATATGATCCCCCAAAAGCAATCCATTTCACATCTGGACTTAGTTCGTATTGTACATTTATTTTTTCAATAAATACAGCTAAATCAGCCAAAGCTTGTTGACTGGTTAAATATTGAAGATTTTTAACACTTAAATCACTAGAACAAGTTTGTTAGATGACACTTCCTACTTTTTCGACAAAAGTTGACTAATTTGGGTTGGTAGCATAAAATAAGTATGACAAATTAATATGGGTGTCAGTGGCGGCTGGTGGATTTTAAGTATACCAATATCTCAGTTATTAGACATGGGACCCACACCAAATTTATAATAGTTTATATTGACATTAAATAAACAAGTTCGGCGCAAACAGAATTTAAATTGAAGTTTGCGAAAAAAAGTTAGTTTTTCCTGTCGCCTACCCTGCCTCCAGGCCCCCCTATTTGAGATAATTCAAATTAAAGTGGTACAATTTATTATCCACTATAATTTATCGACAAATTTAAAATTTTATTTAAAAAATCCAAATATTACAGTTTTTATACCATTTTAAATATTTTTTTATTTTAATAAAATCAATAATAAAAATTTAAAATCGAATAAAATCTGTAATATTTGGATTTTTTGAATAAAATTTTAAATTTGTCGATAAATTATAGTAGGTAATAAATTGCACCACTTTAATTTGAATTATCTCAAATAGGGGGGCCTGGAGGCAGGGTAGGCGACAGGAAAAACTAACTTTTTTTCGCAAACTTCAATTTAAATTCTGTTTGCGCCGAACTTGTTTATTTAATGTCAATATAAACTATTATAAATTTGGTGTGGGTCCCATGTCTAATAACTGAGATATTGGTATACTTAAAATCCACCAGCCGCCACTGATGGGTGTACCTATAGTAATTTGTCATACTTATTTTACTTATTTATACATACCGTGTTGGATGACTTTTTCCATAAAACCTATGCTCCAATTGAAAACAAAGTGCTTTATATTCCTTGGCATAGTCAATCCAGGCCCCTTGTGTCATCCACTTGTCTGATGCCTCACCTTCTCCACCAATTTGTAGGAAAACAACATTTCTTGCTTTATTATCGAAAAACTCATCATTTACAAAATAACGCTAAAAAATTACAAAAAACAATAAAAACCCAAAATAGCAGTCAATGTTTTTACTTACTTGCTGCCATTTAGTTTCTTCTGTAGGGTTGAAATGATCCAAATTTTGTGAAAACCACCGTTCAAAATCGTTGATATCATTTTTCATGAAATTGTTGTGATGTGGCTCACCCAAATTACCACCAACAGTTCTACCATTGTGGAATGTTTTCCACGCAAAGCTGTTTTCAAAGTTTGCAAAAAACAAAAGACAAAACAAAAAAACGAACCTCATTTTTCAGAATTTGGCACTCAATTAACTGATACAAGTAAAGTTAGAAATTCACTAGAAACGGTTATCGATTATCGGAGAATAAAGTTCAATTTTTTTCATGATTACACATTTAAAGTTATCATGTTTGATTGTGTGAGTTTGATTCCCTTTATTTCAAGGGTGCGTTCATGAAGCTTTACTCGAGTAGAGTTAATATGGCGTCGTGTAAACTCATAGTGCTAGATTTATTTTATGCCGTCATGAACGACTCTGAGTAAAAACAACTTAACCTTATTTTCTGACATTTTAAATTTGATTTATGCATAAATCACATGTAAACTTAAATTATATTTTATTATATTTAATATGGATAGAGTTAAAAAAACTTTCAGCGTTCACTTTAATTGTCTCTTTTGTGGTATCTTTATCATCTATAATAGATTTTTCTGATTGCAGCCATTGAAGTTGTTTAACTAAAATGTTTATGTTATTACTTATAAAATAAAAATAATTATGGGAAATACATACGCATATTATCTTGAACCAGTAACAATCCGTCTTCGTTATAGATGATATTACCCTCAGGGTCAGTCACAATGGTATAATTATCCATTATTTAATTAATTTAGCAACCATATAACAAATAGCAACGATTTCTATATAAACACAAACAAATAATCTCAATTCAAATTCAAATTTGACAATTCAAATTCAAATTTGACAATAACATACTACAATGCGCATGCGGAGTTATTTTAACGCACCTACAAGAGGTGGGTTAAAAACGTAAACTCGGTGTTAAATATCCTGGTAGTCACGAACGATTTAGTCAAGTTAAAGTGTAGATACCGCTGTTGTAATGAACGTTTTGAGTTAACTCCGAGTGAATCGAGTATACGTCATGAACGCACCCCAAGGGTGCGTTCATGAAGCTTTACCCGAGTAGAGTTAATATGGCGTCGTGTAAACTCATAGTGCTTGATTTATTTTATGCCGTCATGAACGACTCTGAGTAAAAACAACTTAACCTTATTTTCTGACATTTTAAATTTAATTTATGCATAAATAACATGTAAACTTAAATTATATTTTATTATATTTAATATGGATAGAGTTAAAAAACTTTCAGCGTTCACTTTAATTGTCCATTGAAGTTGTTTAACTAAAATTTTTATGTTATTACTTATAAAATAAAAGTAATTATGGGAAATACATACGCATATTATCTTGAACCAGTAACAATCCGTCTTCGTTATAGATGATATTACCCTCAGGGTCAGTCACAATGGTATAATTATCCATTATTTAATTAATTTAGCAACTATATCACAAATAGCAACAACGATTTCTATATAAACACAAACACAAATAACCTCAATTTAAATTCAAATTTGACAATTCAAATTCAACTTTGACAATTCAAATTCAAATTTGACAATAACATACTACAATGCGCATGCGGAGTTATTTTAACGCACCTACAAGAGGTGGGTTAAAAATGTAAACTCGGTGTTAAATATCCTGGTAGTCACGAACGATTTAGTCAAGTTAAAGTGTAGATACCGCTGTTGTAATGAACGTTTTGAGTTAACTCCGAGTGAATCGAGTAAACGTCATGAACGCACCCCAAAGAACACATGTTTATATACATATACAGATAACCTAATGATATTTAGCGCGAATGTTTGAAAAACATTGGTAGACGTCTTCTTTATCTTACATCCCTGTTGTAAATGACATATAAAATCATATATGAAAAATCCCTGCTGGTTCCAATATGATCCCAGTAAACATTTGTGATTGCGTATTGAAATCACTCCGAAATCTCGTCGTGACATCGTGATATCACTGGCGCATTCATATGTTTCTACAATACACAATCAATGGGATATCAAGTCGTGACATTCAAGCGCAATACGCACTCAATGGGATATCACTCCGTGACATTGCTAGCGCGCATGCGCGAGCGAAAGTGCAGGGGAATATTTAAAACATGTTGGAGCTGTGATAAACGAAAAAAGCGTCGTTGCTATCGTTAATTGCGATGCAACGTCTTTTAAAACACGTTGCATCGCTATAGCGATAGTAACAATAGCGACGACCCTCTTATCGTATATCACAGCTTCAACATACTTGCGGCCTTGGGTGAAACAAAATTATGGGCTAAAATATTAACAGTCAACGTTTATTTAAATAAAATAATAATAAGACAAGTTTTGCACACTACCTTTATACAGGGTGCATCAAGTATCCTATAAGTATAATACCTACATGTATACAGGGTGACACATATTATTTATTTTTTGGGCGAATTTGATAAAACCTTTTAGGTTTTTAGTAGTAGGCAAAGGGCTTAATTTAATGTAAATTAAATTTAGTTAATCCAGAGGCGGCGCTGGAACATCCCAAATAGATATTTAAAATAAAATTTGGGTATGATACTGCTTTTTTAAGTTTATTATTATTTATAGATTACAAATAAAACGGAAACGAATTTAATTTTTTTCTTCGCTTGCAAAATTGCAAACAAATATAAAGTGAAGTTATATATTTTTGGGGAAAGAAAAAAGTCTTTGTCTAACAATAATAACATAATACGTAATTAACGTATTATGAACAAATTAAAGTAATGTCATTTAAATGAAAAGTTTCGTCCCTGCGGGGTCACTTCGTGACATAAAAAGATCACGCGCGTGTCACTGCTTGACATAAAACGACAAACTTAATCACTGTGCCAGCAATTGGATATCAAGTTGTGACATGTCACGTCGTGACTTTTTCGTGATATCACAAATGTTTACTGGGATACTATATGATTTTTGAAACAGACATAACATATAAGACCATATTCATATTCATTTCTACACAGGCATATAAAAAACTGACCATATACAATTTATTACCTATAAATTCATATTCATTCATATATGATTTAAGATGGATTTTCATATAAATTTCTGTCATATAAAACCATATAAACACATACAGTTCATAATCCTGATTACATATTGAATCCATAGTGTCATATAACAAACTATAAAAACATATAGAAACACTGTACGGATTCTATATGTTTCTACTGGTCATTTTCAACAGGGATAAAATATTTATGCAAAGATATCTTTGCATCTTTGATTATCATATTATATTAGGTAAATAAAATATGAAGATTGAATTAAAAAATATTATTTATTCAATAAAATATCTAGACAAATGAGAAAAAATATGCTATAAAATTAAACAATTTATCAACTTATAAATAACATACAAATAGTATGATAGAATAAATATTTGATACCTACTCTTATCTTATTTCAGAAACTTTGCATACCACATGAAACCTGTAAAAGCAGCTAAACTATACCATGTTAAAATATAAGACATGTGCTCATTTCTCAATGATATTCTTGTTTGTCCTCCCAAAGGACCATCTGCAATAATATAATCATCTGTTGCATCAAGAAATATTTTTGATGTTCCAGCTATTTTGGACATGTCATTTATATCTCTACAAACATGGAAGTATTATTTTATTTTAAAACACAATTTTTATTTTTTAAATTATCAAAATATATTAAAAATTAATAAACATTACCTACCTATAAAAAAAAATATTGGAACCTTCTTGGTTTTTCAATGAAAATGTAGGTCTATTTTCTTGTAATCTAACAATTCCAATTAAATTTACTTCTTCCTTAACTTGACCCTTTTCCCTAGTTTTAGGATCTCTATTTTTGGCAGGGACCCATCCTCTATTAACCAAAATAATTTCACTAAAATATAATGTTTAGCAAAATAAATGTATACCTAATTAAAAATTACTCTCTTTACTTAGTATCTGATAATTGAAAAGGTGTTACTACCAAAAACCCATGGGATGTATTAGTTTTTCCAGTAAATAATGAGCTTTTATTGGAGGCATCTCCTGTAACTAATAGTGATCTGGGCCCCATATACATTTCTTTTTCATGTAGAAAATGTCCTTTTACTCTTACTGGTTTATATTCCAAATCTTCCAACTTATCCAAACTTAAATTAAAATAATAATTACTTATGATATTATTTATTTTAATCGGCTTTACTTGGTTATTAAATCCACTACTTCACTCCCTGTTCTAGCCTTTAAATCGGCTAGTAAACTTTCTTTCCAGTTTTTACGCTGAACTTGCCATGTGCCTAAACCAAAAGCTGAAGCAGGTACAACCTTAAATTTTAATTATAAGACAACGTAGTAAGAATTAAAATAAACCGACTTACCAGCAAAAACCATCCAAATGGTCCTATTTTATATATTTTTTGTGGCTTCGGACGTAACAAAGGTTTGGCAACCTGATTTAAACTTGAATTGCAACTAAGGAATACTGTGGAATTGTAACATATTTTATTTGCACAACGTAAATTACCAAGTTTTGAAAACATAATCGATTTATTTTTAAATATAATTTTTCTTCAAAGATTAGGTTAGGTACTTATCTGTCAAAAAGTAGTTCAATTGTAGAAATAAGCTAAAAATCATTTCTACGCTGTAGCTTAATTGTACCAATTGCGTCATACGTCAATTTTGGCATAATGCAGAAAAATAATGGATAAAAATAAAAACATCTACAATTTAAAAAATGTGAACGATATAAGACAGTCGCTAAAAAATATAAATTTGTGTTACTCAAGTCTAGGCCTGAACATCAAAGATCTGAAATCCGTTTGTACTAGATATCCAAGTAACTTTTGTAGAAATATTTGTATTTACTCTTTATTAGTTTTAATATTATGTATTTTATTGCAATACAATGTAATTGGTGGGGTGTTTAATTACTTTCTGGGTGTTAGATGTGTTTTACGTAATAATTATATTATATGGGAAGCCACTAGACCTTTATCCAATTGTGAATTTTGCAAAAACTTATCTGAACCTATAGTATTACAAAATGTTAGCAGGAAAGAGTTTGAGTACTATGCTTATACCTCAAAGCCTATTTTAATTAAAAAGGCTTTTTTACACTGGCCTGCAAGAAAGGTGTTTGATTTACAGTTTTTCAAAAATCTCTATTTAAGCATTAATGAGTCATATACAAGTGTAGATGAAGAGTGCCAATTTTTACATTTTAAGTCAAATTTTATTTCTATTAAAGATGTTTTTAATATGTCTGAACTGAGGGTTAAAAATGCCCAAGGTGCAACTTCTTGGTATGTGGGATGGTAAGCAAATTATTTTGAAATGCACATTTTATTAATATTTTTATTTTAATTCTAGGGGTAATTGCCATCCTATCATTCTCCAAGAAATGAGAAAGTATTATCCTAAACCACATTTCTTGCCAGATGATTGTGAAATTCCATCAAAAGAATATGTGTTCATGGGATACGATGATGGAGCTACAATGCATGTAATAGATTTGTTGAAATATTATAATTGTTTATTAATTTAATATTATTTTAGCTTGATTTTATTAATAGATTAATGTGGCAGGCTCAATTAAAAGGTACTAAAACATGGAATCTTTTACCTCCTCCAGAATGTGAAGAAATTTGTCACCCATTAAATTTTGTTGCAGAGCCAGGAGATGCTGGTAAGTTTTATAACCAACTGATGAGTTAAAAAAAAATTTTAAAAAAATTAATTGAATTTTTTAAAACATGGTTTTACATCTAATATGCAAAGAAATTTATTTGGAACTTCCTACAATTGACAGCATGATACGAATTGGGATTGCAAACTATTTATGTACTTAAATTGTTTTAAAAACTACTACCTACTTTATACGCGTTTTTCTCAAAACTACTTTTTTAAGCTGGCAGAAGTGCTGTGCTACTTTCTAAATATGCATTTGCAACGCAAATTTTGCGTCGATTTTACTCTTAAAATATTCAGGAACATTTTCTCCAGGCCAGAAAAATAAAAAAATATTAAAAACACCTTTTTTTAATAAATTACTTCAATATTTTTTTAAAGGATGCATATTAGTATGCATTGCATAACTTTTTAAGCAAATGTCCTTTAATTATTTTATTACCAAACACCTGGACAAATATTTTCAATTTTTAGTCATCCATGACCAGAGCTGTGCGGTACTCGAGTACTTGTACTCAAATTTTGGTCTAGTCCAAGTATTTTTTCCTCTTCCCCAATTAGGATAATTTAAATTTAATTGCTCCAATTTATTATTTACTATAGTTTATCGTTACATTTCATTATTTAAAAAAAATTAAGTATTACAGATCTTATACGATTTTATTTTTTTTTATTTTAGTAAAAGAAATAAAAATTGAAAATGGTATAAAATCTGTAATATTTGTATTTTTAAAAATTTCAAATTTGTCAATAAACTGCAGTGTACCACTTTAATTTAAATTTTGTTTGCACAGAACTTGTTTATTTATATTTATAAGCATATTTAAAAATGGCATTTTTACAAGCCGATTGGTTATATTTAGTTTTTAAATATATTACTTTTTTAGAGCTAATCAGTTTTTTAAATAAATATTTTTGTAAGTACGTGTATTTGGTTTTTTAAATATTAAATAATATTTTGTATTTTTTAATATTAGCTAATTAGTTTTTAAAATAAATATTTTTTTAAATATTTTATTTCTACTAATTTTAATTAAAAATATTGTTTTATGACCCACTACTTTTAAGTGACCTAAACCTGATATTTTGTTTGTTTTAACTTTTAACAATTTTTTTTTGCTAGATACTGAAACATAAATGGGTCAGAATTTCTCAAACGGGCCACCTGAATTAGGTCAAAATTAGTTTTTGTTTGTAGATACATTTTTTCGATAGTATTTTACATCACTAACACAAATCCTAAAGGATTTTGTAAAAAAAAAATTTTCAATTGACATATTCATGATATTAAAAGTCAAAGTTTTTAATAATTAAAAAATAAAAAAATTCATTATGGCTGAACTAATTATCCGATTCCAACGATATAACTAGCGTTGGAATCTTGTTTTGACATAGATTCTTTGTTATTTTTTTCAATTGTCCTATTTTCATTTAGGTCGATTTTTTTTTGTTTTTTTTATACCAAATTCGGAAATAATTGCCTTCTGCGCCAGCTATCGACTCGAGAAAAAAAACACATATACTCCAATCATTTCTCGAAATTATGCTGCTGAGAAAAAAAATGGCCCGCAGGTTGACAAAAAGTTATTCGTCCTTTTGTGGCCGCGCGCGGTGTCAGCTCACGCTCCGAACCGTGTACGCTGTACGCGCTTGTGACGCGACGTCTTACGGTGGTCTGGAACCTGCGGGCCATTTTTTTTCTCAGCAGCATAATTTCGAAAAATGATTGGAGTATATGTGTTTTTTTTTTCGAGTCGATAGCTGGCGCAGAAGCCAATTATTTCCGAATTTGTTATAAAAAAAACAAAAAAAAAATCGACCTAAATGAAAATTGTACAATTGAAAAAAATAACAAAGAATCTATGTCAAAACAAGATTCCAACGCTAGTTAAATCGTTGGAATCGGATAATTAGTTTAGCCATAATGATTTTTTTTTATTTTTTAATTACTAAAAACTTTGACTTTTAATATCATGAATATGTCAATTGAAAATTTTTTTTTACAAAATCCTTTAGGATTTGTGTTAGTGATGTAAAATACTATCGAAAAAATGTATCTACAATCAAAAACTAATTTTGACCTAATTCAGGTGGCCCGTTTGAGAAATTCTGACCCAAATTACATTTTAAAAGTTTTTAGAAAAAGTACTTTGTACATTTCTTTTAAAGTACTTGTACTTTTACTCAAGTACTTTTTTGTTGTACTCGGAACAGCTCTGTCCATGACCCATGGACCCAAATTTAGAATGTTCATCTTATTTTAGTAAACTTCTTTGACAGTAATGGCAATATGTCAATATTTAAATTATTAATTGCCCTAGCAACAAGATTAGTTGAAAAATTATCGTCAGATAAGGCATTTTTTCGCGTAAATACTATGAAATACTATGGTTATTAAACTTAACCTTGGTTAATAGTTAATGTATTTTCGCTTTTAGAGTGCGTTCCAAAGTCTTAACTATGACGTCACATTTACTAGACCATAAAACTACCTCAGTAAGCTGGTTATTCAATCTGATGAATAGTCTATCTCTTTCTAATGTGTATATTTCTTTATTTTAATCTGTCAAAAATGTTGTTTTAATGTCAAAAAATATTTAAACAGGTAACCACACTTTTTTATATAAGGCGTGATTGGCTACAAGTGTTACGTCATGGATTTCCAAGGTGGAAATTCTAGGTTATAAAGTTTATAAACATCAAAAGTTACATTTGAAATGACAATCAATAACCGTGGTTAAACGAATTAACCGTGACGTCATTACCTTTTTAAATATAGTATTTCGTGGTAATTACGCGAAAAAACGTCTATAATTTTTTTCCGGTTATTTATTATAGGTGTATGTAGATATTAAAAAAGGCTTTTAAATACATCCCATTACCTAACAAAAATACCATAACCTTGATGAAAATTTAAAGAGATTAAAAAAGCTTCTAAATACATCCCATTACTCAACAAAAATAAAATAATTTGAAATTGAATTTTTTCTTACAAAACTGATTATCCACCAAAAATTTTCAAGAAAGAAAAAAGCTTCTAAATACAATTATTTACTTAACAAAATTAACTAGGTTGTCATAACCCTTCTGCTTATTTATAGCTGACTATATATACTACTGGGAAACGGAGTTTTATACTCTAGAAAAAAGAGTATATTTAATCTTTTATTTACTAAAATCAATAATTTGGGAAGAGTAAAAAAATATATTTATCTTTGACGCCCTCTTCCGGCTAAACAAAGCAATTTCGAATATAAATAACTTATTTTGGCGTCAAGAGTGTGTCATTAAACGTTGTACACACTTTTAAGAGACCCCTTGTGGAAATTTTTCTTTGAAAAAGTTTTAATAAGTAAAAATAAGAGTTTTTAAAGTCTTACTTTCTCTTAAAAACTCTGAATAGGACTTATTAAGTCGGAAAAAGTCAGAATAAGACTTGTTAAGTCGGAAAAAGTCTTAATAAGTCTTAGTAAGTCAGAATAATAGCATTGACTAAAGAATACAACCATGCTGAGTTATTCCGGATATTTATTTTTATCACTATAGATATATAAATTTCTCTGCAAAAAGTCTTATTAAGTCTTATTAACACTTCCAGAAGACTCCCAAATCTTGCTATTAGTCTGACTTAGTAAGACTTATTCAGACTTAATAAATCTTAGGCATTTAGGTTAGATGGGGCTTATCCGATAAGGGGCACAAATCAATTAGATATCTTAAATCGTTTTGAAATGCAACTACTATCTGCGAGGCGTTTTATAAATTCGGTGATAATTCTTTATAAATTATTGCATGAACAACTTGATTCGCCTGTTCTCCTATCACAACTCTATTTTCGCATTCCAAGATTGAATGCTAGGTCTACTTCAGTTTTCTATACTCATGGCTCAAGAACAAATATACATTTAATGTCACCCATTCAATTAATGACTCGCAATTTCAATAGTCTACCTGACTGTGATATTAATTTTATAACTTCAGGCTCATTAATTAATATATGTAATTTACACCTAAATAATGTTAACAATTAGTTTATAGTTTTATTGAATTGCATTGTTGTTATGTTTATAATTTATATTTACTTTTCATATTATTTTGTCTTGTAATTGGAATTTTGTATTCTGTTGGGCAAATAAATATATATTATTATTATTATTATTATTATTATTATTATTCTGACTTTTTCCGAGTTTTTAAGAGAAAGTAAGATTTTCAAAACTCTTACTATTACTTATTAAAACTTTTTCAGAAAAAAAATTCTACAAGGGACACCGGTGGCGGAACTAGTGGGAGCACAAGGGAGTAGTGCGGGGGGGGCAAGGCGATAGGGGGCCCATCATTAAAATAATTTAAAAAACATACATGTTTCTTAAATTATTTTAACAACATTAAAAACCTGGCATATATGTATATGGATAAATAATATAGGCAAAAGAATTAAATTCTTTACAAATTTTGTTGAATAGAAAATACTGTGGCGACATCTAGGTTTATACATTAGTAGCTATAACTTTGTGAGGGCTGCAGATAGTGTGGCGACATCTATATATATATATATATATATATATATATATATATATATATATATATATATAATAAGTAGCTATCACTTATCATGCATATTAGGCATATTCTGCTGTTGGAACAAACATAAAGTTACAAAACAAAGAATATTGGTGAATATTTAACTTTCATCGCAACGTTGCCTAATTTATTTTCGCAGCTGGTGTTTTTCGCCGGCAAGGTATTTCGCGCACCAGGTATACTCTCTTAACCCTTATGCAGGCGCACCTCTTTATGCAACGTAGTAGGTCGCGCGGGGTGTCAGAGACACCCCTGATGGCAAAGCGTCCCTGAGTGTTATTTACATTTTTTTTTGTTTTTTTTTAAGGTTATCAAGTTAAGATGAGCTAAGAGACGATGAGAACATATTTCGTTGCGTTCAAATTTGATAAAAGATGACAAAAAAAAGAAAATGTCAAAAGACGACAATTTTAATCAAATAAAGCATTTATTTAAAAAAAAACAAATTTTAAAAGTCATAATAATAATAAAAACAAAAAAAACACTAAGCACTTAAGATAAGGTTTACTTTTACAAGTAATTATGATTTGGTAAAAAAAGTCAATAGGGAGGCGAAACCCAGCCTGCTCACGGGGTGTCCACAGCACCCAGAGCCTGTTTAAAACAAAATACCAGACAACCTATTACATTAACTTCAAAATCGGCAATGTAATATGACTGAGAATACTTTGACAGGAAGGTACTGAAAGTAAGCGCCATTTATTCGAATCGAAGTGAGACCGGTAGCTATATTTAGGAAGCTGGGGTGTTTTGTACACCCCGCGTGCCTGCTTAAGGGTTAAAAGGAATCAGTCAAAAATAACTAATTATAAGTCATATTTGACTAATTGTCATAGTGAAAAAGCAGTCACTAATAACACTGGGTAAATTTTCAACTTTTGAAAAATCACAGCTAAACGCTCAGACACGTAAACATAATTTTTGGTCGTAGATTCCAAATCTGTGCTCGGTTTAGCTCTATCAGGTCTAAAAAAGTTTTCTTGTCGAAAAACCGATCCGGGGACACACTGTATATTATAATTTGTAAAATAATATATTTCACCTCTTGTGTCAACATTCTTATGCTTTTTATTTTAATTAATATAATATACTCAATTATACTCAATTAAAAAAATTAGCAAAAAAACATTTTGAATTTCAGAACTTATCTATGAAAACCCCCCAGGGAAACGTGTTCCTTTTGATCAATTAACTTGGAACTGATTTGTGGGTCCAGCCAAATTGATTTTTTTTAATGTATACAGGGTGTTTAAATTTATACAGGGTGTTTCCAATATCTTTGAATTTTGACCTGATACAGCTAAACCAAGCATGGATTTGTAATCTATGATCAAAAATTAAGTTTACGTGTCCGAGCGTTTAGCTGTGATATTTTCACCGCCCTACAGTGTAATTAGTTAAATTCTACTGAATGAAATAGTCAAATTAGTAGATTTAAATTTTAAAAAGTTTTGACCCAGCCGGGGATTGAACTTGTCAAGCTGTTGTCATAACCCATTTGGCCATCAGCCGCTCTTATAAAAATCAATTTTATTTTTTAATAAGTATTGTTCATAATATTTTAAAGTTAAATATATTATTTGTGTTGCTGTTTTGAGCTAAACTTTTTGCATCTTTATTTGTTTTTATGGGTCATTTAACCATGGAGCCTAGGAATGTATATGCATTTAATTCAAATAATACTTTGTTGTTGGCCGCAAACGATTAAAGAAATTAGTTACTTTTAACTCTCAGAAATAGTCAAAGATGGTGACTAATCTTTAATTAGTCAAACTTTAACTATTAACGTAGTAAAAAATAACTATTTAAAAGTAAAAACAACTATTTTATTAGTAAAAAATGCTGGTACTAATTCAAATAGTAGAATTTTGACTATTTCATTTTTAGAGAGTAGGTTGTTGGAAGGGGCCCATATTGAATTTTGCGTGGGGGCCAAATTTCGAAGTTCCGCCACTGAGGGACACCCTTTATTTCCTTTTCCAAATTGCAGGAGTTATTTAATGTTTAAGGCGTCCAATGAATAATGAATGAACTGCTCTATTGAACGAGACCCGCCTTTTGACTCAGCGCTTGCGACAACACGCACAAAATTTGTTTTTGTTTACCTGTACGTCCCAATGATAGAATGTCAGCGTCTTTTGTAAAAAAAAATAACAAAAACTCGTCCGATAGAGCAGAACTACTGCGCATTCATTGGTGAGTTTGAAAATTGTAAAGGAAAATTCGTCTTAGAATTTACCTTTTTGGGACACACTGTATTTATTATACTCAATCAAATGTTTAAAATAGAAATATAATGAAAATAAATCGATTAAATGCCCTGACCTACCTGCTTTAGAGTTTTTTCATAAAATACGTCACATGGAATTGTGACGAAGTGTGACATAGGTTTATTACGTCACACCAATATATTTAAAACGTGAACTTTTATTTAATTTTGTTTTATTTTTTAGTACTTGCTGATACCAGAGTGTGGTACCATGGAACAAAGATAAAAAATGGAGAATTTAGTGTTTCAGTTCAGTCAGAATATGGATAAAATTAAGCAAAATGCTTTATTTTATAAGAATTTTATATCTGTAGCAATTAGTTACCTAAGTTTTAATTTTTCATATTTATGACTAGTCATTTTATTTGTACAAAAACTACAAACTAACCAATGCAGTTACCAAAACTAGTATTATAGTGCCATTATATCCAGAATATATTTTATATCTATATTTTTAAAAAAGATTTTTATTTTTTTTCCATTTTTTATACATTACAATGTTTACAGTATATTTCATTTAGTGCATGTTACAATTTTGAGGTTATGTTCCAGAAATTATAATAGGTTGTCAGAACCTAATTTCTGGAACATAGGTGAAATTGGAACGCGCCTCAGTAGCAGCAGAAAGTAACAATGGTTACGCAAGGTTATGTTTTGTGATTTACTGACAATTGACAAACTTTACTTTCGGCACAGCAGAGAACATAAATAAAAAATAAATATAACAGTTATAAGAAATATAATGTTTGGTTTATGGCAGAGAAATATGAAAAATTTAATGTTATCGTCGTCCGCGTCGAAAAATGTATATAGGAATAGGAAATATAAAATTTCACTGACACCACAACAATAAGCCAAATACCAAAAATTACTCTTAAATTCGTCCGCTGAATACAAATATATAACATTTTCTGGGTACTACCTATAGGTAGTACTATAGTAGGTAGTTTCATATTCTGGGTCTTCGTATGCGTAGTCCCCGCCGACCTGCCTTCGTCACTGCTGCTTGTACTTTCAATTAATATTTTATCAATAAATATTGAAATAATTAGTCCTATAGGTATTCACCAAATACCATTATATGATATAATTTATATCCTTCACTTTATTTGACAGCTATTTTTTGTTTAAAAGTTTGGTTATGTGTTTTACTGGAGCCACAGCACCTCTCTGTCCCCAGTTGTTTCAGTAAAATTATTCTGCCGTACATTTATAAAAGGGTAGTATTTACCACTGAGCTCAGTAACTGAAAGTGGATTTCGGAATGCGTTTTCAGTACCGACAGTACTGACAGTAAATTACGGAACATAGGCTTAGTTGTGTTTTCTTGTCACTGTCCAAATTTTTAGGTTTACAACTGTTGGGTCATTCCACGTTACTCGGGGATTTTTGTCCCGCCCGTCACAATTAAAAATTGTGAGTAAAAACTACAAGTTATAAAATTTATTTAAAAATATTGTTTTATTTTGCTTTTAATAAGTTATAAGAACAATAAAAATAATTTTATAAAATATAAATTTTATAACTTGTGGTTTTTACTCACAATTTTTAATTGTGACGGGCGGGACGAAAATTACCGAGTAACATCCCAGATAGCAAACGTGAATACGAAATCACGCGTGAGTGAAGAATGTGTGCTATATGATTTCACACGTGAAGTCTTGAACTCGTAATTCACACGTGAGTAGATTATGAATTCATATTATAGTCTCGTGTGATTTAATCGATTTTATTTTAAAATATATTTAAATTTTTATTATTTATTTTATTATAATAAAAAAATATTTAATATGGTATAAAATCTGTAATATTTATATTTTTTAAATAAAATTTTAAATTTGTCGATAAATTATAGTGGAGTATAAATTGCACCACTTTAATTTGAATTATCCCAAATGGGGGAGCCAGAAGCCAGGTAAGGCGACACAAAAAACTAACTTTTTTTCGCAAACTTTAATTTAAATTCTGTTTGCGCAGAACTTGTCTATTTAATGTCATTATAAACTATTATAAATTTGGAGTGGGTCCCACGTCTAATAAGTGAGATATTGGTATACCCAAAATCCCCAATCCGCCACTGATATATATAATATTAATATTAATATTATGATCATATCATATTATGATAACAAGTTTAGCTTGAAATAGATATTTCCAATGGATTTATCTGAACAAAAGAAATAGGAACCATTCAAAAAGTCGAAATGGATTTATCTGGTTTAGTCTGATTGCTTCTCAATTATGGCCTTTTAAACCAAGTTTTTGTGTATTTTTTTAAGATGTTAAAATAAATATTTCGACAGATTAAATTATTTTGAAAAATGAAATCCATATTCTAAAAGCGCATGCGCAAAAAATAAAAAGTTCACGCGTGATGGCAAATTGAGCATCAATTGAGGACTCATCTGTCGCGTTATATGAATTCACGCGTGAATTTAATTTTCACGCGTGAATTCGTAGTGAATTCATAGTGAATTCATTTTGCTAGCTGGGATGGAATGCCCCTGTTGTCAATTTTAATTTAAATTATTAAAGTACTGTACTGTTTATTAAACGGCCTCAAAATGTACTTAAAACTTTGAAACAACAGTTCTCTCTTACATTTGAGCTTTGATAAAAAAGTAACTTGAAATATTTGTGTCTTTTTGATTTCTACACGCTATTAAAACTCACCATGTATATGCTTTTTAATTTTTTTTGTGAAAACACGGGAAATTTTAAGCCCTTTCCCCTGCAATATACAGAAAATATTTTATTTTTTGATTGGTACAATGAAAACTATATTTCAGGTCGCCTGTAGTGACTAATAAAACTAAAAAGTTTGTAATAAAACGTTAAAAACAACCTAATGAATCAACAGTTTTGCGCGCGTATTATTTTGACACAGAAAATTCCTGACAAACGGGAAATTCTCTGAACACATTCCGTCTGGTAACTAGCGACCAAGAGACAATTGAATTAGATTTAGTTTCAGTACGGTTAACGTTTTGAATTCTATAAATACCGGCATGTCACATTTTCGTGCCAATATTTACGATCTAGAGTGCGGCGTCGAGCCCGGCCAGTCTGCGCCGCGCCGCCCGACGTTCAACTGTCTTTGCGACGCCGTTATATAAACTTGATTTAAATGAAACATTGTTAAAAAAATTTAAATAAATGTGCGAAAATAGTCGAAGTTAATTTTTTATGTTTTATTAGTATTTTAGCGCAACAGTGATAAAAATTAATTTTAAGAAGGTAAGTTTAAAGAAATGTTGTTTAAACAATGTAACAATAAATTTAAGTGTTACATAAAAACAATTTAAATAACAAAATTTGTAACGTTTTATGTAATTTATTCAATTATAACATATTACAAATTTCTCAGACAAAAGTTTACAAGATTTGTATTTACAAATATGTTCCGAAAACTTTTATGCAGCGAAAACTATTTCCTATAAAAGCTTCTATAATTAGACAGTCCAAACGGATTAATTGTTTAGATGCATATCTTGAATCTGTACATTCAATGCACTGCATTGTTGTTTATTTTTACGGAAATGACGAGACAAATGTGTTTCACATTGTTTATATGAGTCTTAGTTACAAACTTTAATTTAATTTTAAATTTATAAAGTAAAGGAATTATTGAAAATTTTTAAAATAATTATTTTAATAAAAGAAATTATAAATGCTAAATAATACTTTTTTAAGGCTTTTTAAATATACCTATTTGACAACATTAAAAGATCAATAAAAATAAATAAATATAAATAAATAAAATTAACAATTAAAGATAATATTGTCGCACAGGAAGATTACACAAAATCGTAATTTTTTTAATTTTTGTTTTTTTGCATCTATAAATATATTATAGGTAATTATTATATTATATATTATTACAGATTATTAGTAAAAAATCCTATACACCAGGTGGTCCAAAAGTCACAAAGGTATGATCTATAAAACCCCAAAAATCACAAAAAATTGTTACAAAAATTCTACCTTTATTATTTAAAAAAAAAGGGATAGGTTCACATTTTTTTTAAATGGCAACATTTTAATTATTAAACAATATTGCCCAAGTGGTAGTTTAATTCTTATAAAATTTTATTGTATTATAGTATATGATGACAACGGTGTTCTTAATGACAAAAAACAAAAATATTACTTTCAAGGGACACCCTCTATTTTTTTGTATTAGGCATACATTAATATTTAAAAATTATATTCCCATATGAACAGTGGCGGAACTTCAAAGTTTAGGCCACCTGCAAAAATCAATAAAAATGAAAAAAATTCTGCTTCTACTGCTTTTCAATTTTGCTTGGTTTTAGAAATACAGGGTGTTATTTTAATTTCTTAAACAATTTAAAAGTGTTTATAGTTATTATAAATATTTTAATATATATATTTTTAAACGCACGCCCCTTTAATATTATAATATTAAAATATTATTTTAATATTATAATATTAAAATATTATTTTAATATTATAATATTAAAGGGGCGTGCGTAAAGAAAATTATTGGTAACAATAGATTTATTATTTTTTTTATTATTAAAAAAAAACATTCAAATGTAACTCATATCCCACACAGCACATATATCCATTGGACGTCCAGCGGACGACCATTGTACATCCAAAAGTCCAATGTAAGTCCATTTGACGTCCACTGGACATCTTGTGCTGTATGGGATGTTATCTACAAAAGATATATTTTGTACAAACAAGCTGTGTTTTAAAACGAAGCAAGATTTAAAATTTCAAAATATCAATAATCAATCAATATCGAGTATACTAAATAATTATTGAAATTCCCTGCGTATTATTAAAAATAACCCAAATGATTTTTATAAATTACGCTACAGAAAAATACCTACTATAGTCGTCTGAAATTTGTTTTGGTTGCAATTGCCAACAATTGTTAACAATTGACAAAATAATAACAAAAAAGGTAAAATGAGCAATCTCAAAATAAATATATACTAGCAAAATCCCTTGAGGAACGGACCGGATTAACATTTATAGGGGAACCAAGGAAGTTAGAACAGGGGCCCTCAATAGAATAAATTAACCTAGCCTGAGCGAATGATTTAGTATTTTTACTTATTTATTCTTATTAAACCGTTATAATTGCTATTCAAATTTATTATGCAAAATATTGTTATTTTTCTTTTATTTACAAAAAAATGCATACTAAAAAGTTTTTTGATGTAGGTAATTTGTCGCACAGTTTTTTCTCTGAAAAAGTTTTAATAAATAAAAATAGGTTTTGAAAGTCCTACTTTCTCTTGAAAACTCTAAATCAGACTTATTAAATTAGAATAAGAAATGCATGAAGAAAAGTATTTAATAACATTTTTTCTGTGTTGTTATGGCTTATACCAAGTTTATTGCAGTTAATCACAATAACACAGGAAAACACGGAAAATTATAGAGGTGTATAGGATGACGCCACGTTTGAATATCGATTTCTAAATCTCCCTACGGTATAGAGTTGTATTCGTCAGTCGAGCGTTTCAATACTCTCCACAGTATAGAGGTCGTAATTTCACTTTTGAACTAGTATTAATATAAAAATTATTTTATGCTTAAAAAAACTATATACGACATGATTGTGATTTTTTTCATTTTATTAATTAATTAAGCTGTGTTGAATATTTTTCCTAAAGAAATAATTGCCAATGGGCCATTAATTCATTTGTTCGTAGATGCTACAATAACCTGCACTGGTGTGTACTTTTTCATCAACCAGATTTAAATATTACAAAACTAACATATACCAGTGGAGATAGTGCAGGGTCTACCAACAGACCTAATTACTAAATTATTAAAGTTTAATAGCATATCGATCATTTTTCAACATAACCTCTTAAATTTTTAATACAAATATAGGTACTTTATATAATACATAAATATACTTAACATCATATCCTCTGTGCTTTACATACCTGAGTTGTTACGGTAAATAAAAATCAGACAAAGGAACCAAAGAAAGGAACTATTTTCAACAATATCATATGGAGAAATGAGAAAATTCATCCATCAAAAGATCAAAACTTCTTGCAATATTACACCCTCTTTTTATACTCTCAGAAATATTGACTTGAACAGTATTAGAGAGACTCCAGTTTCTATAACTTGGTAGAGTAAAGAGAAGTCGAAACCGTTGCGATATTGCATTGCGCTGTTTTTGTATAATTCTTGGGGACATTAACGAAAATCATTGCCAGTAAAATTCGAAAAGCTTGAGTTTCTATGTCTCTGAGGAGAATAGGAATCCGAAGTTGCTGCACCATTGGACTGAACCCTTTTTTAATAATTTCTAGAGACATATATGACTGCACCATTCGACAGGGTCGAGTTTCTACTCCTCTGTTGAATATAGAAAATCAAAATAATGTATCTTGTAAGACACCATTGAGTTTGACTTTAAATATAGTCGTGCATAGGTATAGAGCCGAAAAATATAAAAACAAAGCACGATTCAATACAGTTATGATAAAACTTTAAGATTTGATATTCAAACGCAGAGTCATCCTATACACTTCTATAATTTTTCGTTTGCTGTGTACGTCTTACTTATTGAATACTTACCTAAACTGTATAATAGGGTGGTCAATCTTTTGAGAATTTTTGAATTTTTTTCTCAGGGGCTCAGTGTTCGAAATAAATTAAAAAATATATTCTTTCAAGTCCCTATCTTAATTTTAACCCGTGCCGCATTAAAGTGTAAGTTTGCTATATAAATAACATAGGGTCTTCGGCATTGAATAATTAATTATTTATTTTTGCAAAAGTAACTTTTCAAAAAATTTTAAACTTGTCAGAATTTAACCTTGTAATAGTAGCTATTCCTAAGAATTTTTACAGATTTATATCTACAATTATTTTTAAGGTTTAGCTAGATGATTTTTTTAAATATAAGAAAATAATTTAGCTGAACACTATATATTTTATTATACAGCGTATAATAACATATGTAAGGTGTAATAATTATAACAATTATAATGCGATGCGCTTGACTTGCTTTCATTGTTGCCAATGAACGTTTTATTTTAATACTTTCTTTTTATAAAAGCAAATATTTATCTGACCATTGTTCAGAACAATTGTCCTGAAAACAATAACACATGTGTACTTCTAGACGCAATATCGATTTTCTCAAGTGATCAATTATATCACAGCTGACCGTCATGTGATCGCATATTCCCGCGTTTTCCAGATAGCTCTAGGTCAGTACGTACCCAGTGTTGCCGTTTGCGGGTATTTTACTCGAAAATCGGTTTTTTTTGTCATATTTGCGGGTAAAATCGGCTATTTTGCAAATTTCGTTCCAAATAAAAATTAAAGAAATTTTCATGCATAATTATTTTATTCTATTCTGTTACATTTTTATTGACTTATATAAAAAAATTAAATTAATTCATTTTTCAAAACAACAAAATATAACTAGTTTTTTTACTCTTCCGGGTAAGATCGGATATTTTGTATGTTTTAGTCGGGAACTTTCATGACATTCATCCGGAAAAACTCTACGTACCATAAAACACAAAAGCCATATGGCTTGCATCCATGCAAGCAAGTCGAAGTTCGACCATATTTGTTATATACGTTCGACTGTCGAACACATCATGCCTACGCGATGCGAAAAATTATAATTTTTATAGTTATTACACCTTATGTAATCAACAAGTGATCTGTATGCATACAAACCAAACGTTGTTGTCAACTGTTTTATTGTGATCAATTGAAATAAACTTTGCTTACCTATATTGTATTCTGGGTTGTTATAAGCAATGTTTATGAATACGTCTCTTTGTGTTTTCTTTTACAATTACCAAATACCAATATCTCTGAATAATTCCGGATTTTTATTTTAATCGTTATAGGTAACTACCATTTCCCTGTTAATAGTCTTATTAAGTCTTATTAACTCTTCCACACTTACAAATCTTGCTATTTGTCTGGTTTACCAAGATTTATTCTTAGTTTTTCCGACTTAAGTACTCTGACTTTTGAAGAAAAGTAAGACTTCAAAACTCTTATTTTTACTTGAGTATTAAAACTTTTTCAGAGAAAGAACGAAAAATTTAACTGAATATTGTTTTAGATTTATTATTAAGAAAATGTTTTTAAGATTTTATTGTATTAAACCATGCCTTCCCACTTTTTTATAAAAACATTTATAAAACTCGAAAGCAGACTCTTCCGGCGAACTCCCAGGTCTCAAACATTTTAATTCTTTCTTAGTC